TCAGATATAGCGGCTCAGTTTGCACTCTAGTATTGGTGTAGGACTATAGCATGTATAAGTCCCAGTAACAGTTAAACAAGTTGAATTCCTGATCCTTAGTCGTTAGGTCCCTTAACAGTCGTGTTTGAATCGACATTGTTCTTGGGTTTTGTTACACTTCCCTGCATTCCACCAGTCACAAGTTTCCTCTGTTGAAGACTTTCCTGCAGAGCGTTCTCCTGCTTTGCCAAAGCGAGAGCCACAGTTTCCTCCTCCTGAGGTTCCAACAACATTTGCTCTGCAGGAGTCGATATATTGGGTGTGGAGGTCTGAGAAAGCAATGCTGTCTGTGAGTGTAAGTTCTCATTTTGCAGCTGCTCTTTTTCTGACTGCTCAATCAAACTCGATGACTCAGTTGTGGTACTGGGGTGCAATCACTTTGAACTGCCTAAAAATACTCTGTCTGTAGAGCTGGAGTTCAAGTTTGCGATGTGGGAAGGCAAAACTGATAGCGTCTGAAGCCTTTTGCCAAGCAAGCAACCATTCACTTGAGTCTTGCACTTTCCGTTTTGGTGTGCTGCTAGGAACAGAGAACTCCAGTGTTCCAACCTTTCCGACATCCTTTCTCTCAGAGGTATTAGAGTACTCTCCTGTGAGGACATGGTCGAGATCAATGGTATCTCCGGCAAGGACATTAAGCCACTCTCCTTTGGGGAACTCAGGCGTGCCAATAGTGCAGGTGAGCGAGTCTCGTGTATATTTGATGTCTTTTGTGTATTCTCTGATGAGTTCCAGAGTTTTTCATGTCCTGGGATCAACGACCATTTCTCTGAGTAAACTATCAGCTGCCCATGCATAGAGAGAGGGGTTAGGTCGCTTTTGTGCACAGTACAGTTCGATTTTGTCTTCTTCCTCAAAATCTCAGGCCTGTTGCTTAGCTGCTCCAACAGGGGCTGGCTCTTCTCCTTCGTTTGCATCTCCTCCGTCGACTGGCTGGTTTGTGCCTTCACCACCTCCAGGTGGTTGTGATGGTCCATGCTCTCCAGCCTCACATTCGACTTGGTCAAGCCGGGCAAGGTATCGCCCCAATGTCTCCTCGAGCTGTGACTCGGTAAGTTGCGTTGATCCTGAGATGAGCTGTTGACTGAGCAACAATGTTGCTTTAGCTCAGCTGATGGATCCTCGTTGTCGTTGCTCAACAATGTCCAGGAGGGACTGTTGCATCTCGAGGGCACTCGTACTTTCAGTCGTTCCAGGAGAGGCAGTGGCATTGTGTGTACTCATTGATTCGATAGATTGTAAATTTATTTACTTGTGTGCGAGAAATGGGATCTGGTGCAATCCTCGATTAGCTACGAGAAAGAGAGGGCGCTCTCTACTGCTTAACGTACCTGGCAGGATCCTTGAGGTGCGAGAAAGAGAGGGCGCTCTCCTGTGCCTCTACCCGCCAGGCATATCAGGCTTTCCTGTCGACCTCCTACATCTCGTCAGCCATGGAATCGGCTCGGCGAGCGGGAGCTTCCAAGAAAGGAAAGAACTCCACACCAAGCGCGGTGCGAGTCGAGTCTCACTGGTCGCCCTTCTGGTCAAGCACAGACTGCATACACTTCCAGTATTAGTAGCATTTTTAAACGATTCTACCGGGCACGGTAGTTCTGAGGCTTGTAGTCCGTCAGCCCCACACCAACTAGATTTGCGAAAATAAAATATTTAAGCTCAATGTAAAGCACGGCCGCACGCGTTACAAAGGAATAACAGCAATGAAAGGGGTTGACCCGTCTACACCCTAGGATGGAATCACGGGCGGCACGTGCAGGGTGTGCAGCCTCCTATATTACGTAAGCGTCTCGCTGCAATTGCTCTAGACCAAAATTTCCCTTCGGGTCATTTGGAATACACGACGTGACTATATGGCAACACAGTTGAACACGTCTTATGAACCAATAGATGAAGTAAGTGACAGCCAATGACTCACAGACCATGTATCAATTGCCTATATAGTCCAATCTGTCGGGGGAGACTGGGGAAATCTACCTGTTCCAATGGTTAGCGTCCACAGAGAAAGTCGTCAAGCAGGTAAACCTGGTATGTGTTAGTTTGAAATGGCCCAAGATGCATATCTAATTCTTTGCATACCAGGAGGATCTCAAGGCTTTGCAGCAGGAGCTGGAGGCCACGCTCGTAAAGGTCGTTAGCGCACCCGAGCCGTTCCAGTCTCCCGGTCGTCCAATCAGAAATCTTGTCGCGCAATGCCTGATTGCATTGTATACCCGCGGGGAGACGAAAACTATGTTCGATACTCTGCAAGCATTCTTGAAGATTGTTGGGGAGCCAAAATCGAACTACAAGGAGTCTAGCAAGATGTATGTGGTATCGTCTGACAATTTTCAAACACCATTCTGATGAATATTGTTTTAGTGCTGCTATGCATTGTATCGGAGAGCTCATGGGAACATTCGGAAGTCAGGTACGAGCATATATGCATCATTTTAGCGGTCATGCGTGAATTCAGGATGGCATAGGTCATGTCACTTATGGTAGAGATTGTTACAGTCGCTCTGAGGCTATACAAATCTACGTCCAATGTCAGTTCCGCATCAGGCAGGCCATATGAGAAACTCATGGATTGCATACCTCACAGCCAATAATCCTGCGGTATCATGCTGTGTCAACTTTGGAGAAGGCACTATTAACAGCAAAGCGGGCCGTCACTGATTCTTTATCCAAGGACATTATAAAGCAAATGCGGTATGCTTTGAGCGACAAGGCACTACCTATCCAACGTGCAGCATGTAATGTAGGCTGATATTTGAATATTTCCTTCAGTAGTTTCTTCTGAATACTGAATCACTTGCAGGTGCTGATCTTGATGTATCCCTCAGATGAAGTTTCCAAATTGACTACTGATGTAGAATCTTTGGTCACGATTTGTACGAAGAGTCTCGAAGGCTCCGACCAAGTCACGCGGAGGTCGTTGGCTAAGCTCGTTGCGCACTTACTATCAACTACTCAAGTAGAGCGCGCTGTTATTATAGCGGATACGACTAAGAAGGGCAAGAAAGGTCAGGGCTTAAATGAGGACAGCGAAGATATCGTTCCAGGGTTGCATATCGCGAATGAAGAGCTCAAACCGATCATGACACCGAGCGAGATGCTCTCCCAACTCTCGACCCAGTTCAATCGTCCACAGGCATCGCGAAAAACGCGCGTGGGTCTATTTGACTTCTACATCGCCTTACTGGCCATGCTGGGCCCGATATTCGTCGAGAACAATTATGGTCTTATCGTTAGTCATCTTATGAGCGAGATTGTGTCAAACCCACGCAATTCGGCGAGTAGGTATGAGTCGCTACTTACTCGCTCATTAGTAGAAATACTGCTACGAGACCTTGTCGGGGTACGTATGCTCGGAGAACAAGCACAAATTGCAGCGATCCAGGAACTCTCGAGGAGCTATCTAAAGAGGTGGCCCGCGATGATGCCAGGTCAAACGGCTCCAAACTCGCTGTGCCTAGTAGTTGCCTTGAGAGAGGTGGCTGGATTGCTCCAACAACTCGGGAATGCTCCTCCCCCAGTTCAGGTAAATGTGCGTGTTTATCACGTCGAACGCCTGGATTTACATCTTTGTAGGATGCTCTTGTTGACCCATTGCTGACACTCCTCTCCCATCCAAATCATACCATTCGAGTGAATACTGCTCGTGTCCTTCGATGCTTCTGCTACTCAACACCACTCCGCCTACCGAAAGTCCTTCTGAGCGTCGTAGAGATGCTTCAGCGCGATATATCTACGCTGACTACCCCTACCGCACCGCCTGACATTCACACACGTTCTCTAGGACATGCCTACGGACTTGCTGCGCTGCTAGTTGTCATCCCTGAGCGGCCCCTATACGTCTCGTACGACATCAGCGCAAGGGTCTTTGATATGGCAGTGCAGCTGCTCAAACGCGCAGGAGAGCATGAGGTGAAGATTGCTCGAACTGAGGTCGAGATAGCATGGACATCCATTGCATCGTTGATGACGCTGGGTCCTAATTTCGTGCGGTCTCACCTTCCACAGCTACTAGTTCTATGGCGCAACGCGCTTCCGAAGCCAACTTCGAAGGATGCAGCAACGGCAAGAAGTCCCTCGGAATGGATGTTTCTGCTGCATCTGCGCGAGAGTGCATTGGGTGCAATATATTGTTTCTTGAAGTACAACACACCAACGCTTATCACTCCGGATGTTACGCGACGTATTGCATCTCTTCTGAGTAATGCGTTGCAATTCACGAATACGTTCCATTCGAGGCGAGTCGAGGACAATGCGGAACAACCGATGACAGAAGTCAAGGAGCTATCAATCGAAGGTCGTGAAGCACTACTTCTAACGCGGATTTTCTCGTGTTTTTCGCTTCTCGGAAACGCCGTTGTCACAGATTCTACTCAATCTGCTTTATTGCACTCAGCAGTAGCCCTATTTGCTAGTCCGGAGGGCTATGTGGGGTCCTCCGTACAAGCTGCAATCGCCTCTTCAACCGGGGCCTTCACTTCTATCTGGCAAACTGTCGATGGTTATGCTTATGGGGTCTCGGATTTGCGAATTGACGAGGGCTCCAAAGTTGAATTGAACCGTGATAGCATTGACATTTCTATTGATGAATTGGTCAGTATTCCACTAACGTGTTTTCTCCAAGGTTACTGATAGTCGCGTAGTGCCAAAAACCTATTCTCAGATCCTGTTCGCACGATCCACTATTTCTCTGTCAAAGAATCACGGAAAGCAGATATCAATGGACCGAGCCTCCGCCGCCTGCTACCGCTGCCGTCAACGCTGCTATACAATTATTTGCTCAATTTCTCCCATTACAAGATCTTTCATTAGCAACTCGCTCATTGGCTCAGTTAATGGAGACGCTAGGTTCTGCGAAAATGGAGAAGAATTCAGGCAGACGGGCAGCGGCCACGGTAAATGCAGCGCTGGCGCTAGTATTTGCTTTGCGTCAGGTCACAACGCCGCGATCAAGACACGTGTTTGGAAGTTCCCAAGTCACATCTCTACTTTCAACCTTCTTAAAGGTAGTTATGCGCCTTTACGGGGAGATAGCAGTCTTCTCATGGCTGAAACTTATGTTCACAGGACGTACTCGTTGATGGAGATGTAGTTCTCCGCAGAGGAAGTAGCGAAGCCATCGGCCGTTTAGCAAGTATCGCAGGGACAAACTTCCTTACTAATCAGGCTAAAATATTAGTTGATCAAGTCGTCAGCAACCGTGATCCACATGGACGCGCTGGATGTGCTTTGGCGTTCGGAGAAATTCACGCTCATGTAGGAGGCCTCGCGGCGGGCCCGCTCCTGAAGACCACTATTCATGTCCTCATGTCTCTTATAAACGACCCACATCCTGTTGTTCACTATTGGGCTCTCACTGCTCTCGCCCGTGTTATCGAAGCAACAAGTTTAGCATATGCGCCATACGTTCCAAGTACTCTGGGCTTGCTCTTCAAAGTCTACATGATGGAGTCCCATGAGCCCGAAGGTGGAGCCCTCAATCACGTCAACATTAGTGGCGATTTACCTGCCTATCAAGTTGTCTGTCAGAATATCGATGCCGCTATCACTGTTTTGGGCCCGGATATACAAGATTCTACTCGATCCAGGACGCTTGTTCTCGACCTCGTACATCGATTTATTAATGAGGATGATGATGGCATCTGCGTAGAAGCGATCAACTGCATGCAGCACTTCCTGATGTTCGCCCCAGAGTTTGTAGAAATTCCGACATTAGTGACCCGATTCAGGAAGTATCTCTCCTCCTCCCGCAGACCTCTCAAATTAGCATCCATCAACGCATTGTATCAGCTCGTTCAAAAGGACGCGTTTGCGATGTCGAGACTTGGTGGCGATCAGCTTGTAGAAGAACTCTTTGCCATGCTTGATGACGACTCTTCTGTTGATGGTGTTCGTAATGTTATCGACAGTTGGCTACAACAAACTGTCGTACATAATCCCTCAGCATGGATTGATCTTTGCCAACGTATCATGTCGCGGACCACCGCGTCACAGCAGGCCACCGATGCAGCCGCGAAGCGAGGAGATCTCCTAGATGATGAAGGTCAGTCTCTGAGCGTGGGTGTCAATCAAGATGCTTCTGTCGCGGGTAGTGCCCGTCAAACTTCTCGATGGAGGACCCAGCTATTTGCATTACAGTGCTTGCACAATATTTGTACAATTGTGGGCCGCTCGGGAAGACGGGAACACTTGGATATAGCTTTTGCACGCAGTCAGGGCCTTCCTATTTCTGGCCTTTTAGTGTCTCGAGTTCCAGATCTTATCAAAATTGCATTCACGGCCTCTGCTGCTCATGTAACAGAGATAAGGCAAGAGGGTCTTACAGTACTGCGAGACGTCATTGAGGTATGCCGAGAACCGCTCATTATAATTTTAAGGAGATTAATCCTGCGATAGATATTCTCCAAGTCTCCGGATCCAGATTACGACGATTCCTTGCTGCTCGAACAGCATCAAGCACCTATCACGGCGGCCCTGACACCGGCTTTCTCAGCAGATTCCACGCCTGAGATATTGGCGGCCGCTATCGGCGCGTGTGCAGTATTTGTTGGATGCGGAGTAGTCAAAGATGTACAGAGAATGGGACGCATCCTGAAATTGTTGAGCTCAGCTTTAGAGCAACTGAAGGGTACGTACGCTCAGCGTTTATGGAACTGATACTAATCTCCAAGTGTCATATATTCAGAATCAGGCATGTTGACATTAGGAGATGCGGTGGAGCTCAGTCCAAATGCGTCCGTGATGCTAAGGATAGCCACCCTCTCTGCATGGGCTGAGCTGCATGTCGCCAGCAATCGACAGATGTATCTGGCTGACGTCGTCAAACCATACGGACCCAGTCTAGCCACGTTGTGGGTTGCTGCACTGCGCGATTACGCTAGCATACGAGCTGATGCAGAAGTTCTTGACGAGTCTTTGGCTGGATCGTTGGATTCTTCATACTCAAACTTAGGAAAGGAGGTCCTTCTTCCAGTGAGCTCATTATGCCTATCACATATCATGGCGCTGACAGTATTGCAGTACTATTCAGAATCCTGGCCGGTGATTTTGCAAGCTGTCGCCACGGCTATGCACGCGGGAGACTCAAACATGCTAGCTGCTATGGACGGTCGCGAAGCGGGTTCTCCTGTACAAGTGACTACTCGAGAAGAGCCCACGGCGTTTTTCTTTGCCATCTTCGGGCTGGTATTTGAAGCCCTTGTCACCGCCGTTCCTGACTCGAACAATACCTCTCAACGTACTTCGGTCATCGCGCTTCTAGCGCTGAAATATCTAGTACAAGAGAAATATTGTGGGAAAGTTTTCAATGATGTGGTTGTTTTTGAGGAGCTCGTCAATCTGTTCTATCGTATGGCGCTCACTGAACCCGCTAATGTCCAGGTCCAGGTGGTAGAGACCATCGCCAGCTTGGCACAAAGTCTTGCACATAAACCATATAACGGCTTCTCGTTTGTGTCTTCTGCTACTTCAGTATTTGACCGGCTCAATTCGATCTCGTAGAAATGGCACAAATACGCGAGAATTGTTGGACTTACCTCAAGTACATTGTATGCGTATATGCGCGTACATCCTCAGACGTGTAATAGCAGGCCCTCGCAATGGTGCTACTCGTGAGTGAACGTGCGCGTTCTCTGACCCGTGATGAACGATGCCTGTAGATGACGTCTCCACATTTCCCGATAAAATCAAGCTTGTTAACGCCGCCTTTGAGGCGTTCATGACAATCGCCGACACGTTTGGCTCTGTCCAGAAAGAAGAATTCAGGGCGGTAGCCATCACACTATACGGGGGTATGCACCATTGTATATGCTAGAAGAGACACCCAGTAACCCTTATACTTTTGAACAGAACTACTGAAGGACGAGACTTATGACGCGGACCTCATTGGGCCAACGCTGCAATCACTGAAGACTATACTCGATAAACCAAGCGATGCCACCGGTGCGGAGAAATATGAGAGGGTAGTCCATGGACTACTCTCGTCATGCCTGGTCAACATTGATGAGATGAGGTAAGTCTTACTCATGGGACTCCCGTGTGGCCAACCAATCCACCTATCTACAGAGGGCGTCAAGGCGCTACATCCTCGCGGAAGACCAAGACTAATCTCCTCGCTGCGGTGCTCGTCCTAACAGTCATCCCTCAGGCTGTGAAGATCGGCAAAGCAATCATCGAGCACTGTTGTTTCCTTATCTCGCAGAAGCTCGTCGATCCTAGTGAAGTATGTACGAATGCCTGATCATATGCCTAGCTCATAACCTGTAAACTGCGCGTAGATATCATTGACAGCAGCGCACTGCGCAAAGACGCTGATTCTTGCTGCAATATCTGGCAACTCGGCCCTTGACCAATGCGCGAGGTTGCTTCTCCCTGGCATGATTGAATGTCTTGCGAAGATAGCTGCCGCGGATAATAATGCATCGGACCAGCAGCTCGCGACTGTCGGAGAAATCTTGAAGGCTTTCGCAGCATTGTTCTCTTCGTTGCCAGAGGAACTACGTAAGTACTTAGACATGCATTAGCACGATACGTCAGAAGACTTACGCGCATGATGAAAAGGTGCTCGAGCATTAGGCGTCTTTATGCCTGCGCTGATTCTCCTTTTGGATGCGACACGGCCCTCCCCATCTGCTTCGCACTCGCAAAGTGTAGCGCAACTCTTATCATTTGCTGCCCAATCGCCAGCTGCATTCAAGGACGCCACCGGAAAGCTAAGTCCACAGATGCGGGAGACTCTGGAGAGCTCTATACGACAAGCTCTAGGAAACAAAGCCTCAACGGGCGAGGCACCAAAACCACAGATTTCTCTGCGCTCGTTCTGAAATGTCGATGTATTGTACCTGATTACTACTGTAGATTCTAATCTATCGCACATGGTTTACTTCGGAAATTTACTACCATACTTAAATTAGGATATAGTACTGGCTGCTACGATAGATACATCAATTGCGCGGTCACCGAGCGTATGGATGGAAACCGTGCTGTCCCCGTCCTGCACTGCGCATAGGGCCTACCCCTGCATTAACCATCGCACCTCCTCGTGCTCTCGCCATGGGACTCATCCCGCCCATCATGCCCATCCCTGGACGCATCATCGCGGCGTTGTTCATGAAAGGTCGCATCATCCCCATGTTAGGGGTGGCCATGTTCATCGGCCCCATCCCCATCCGCATGTTTCCCCCCATTCCGCTGCCCATATTTCCGCCCATACCACCACCCATACTACCACCCATGCCACCACCCATGCCTCCCATGCCTCCACCCATGCCACCTCCCATACCACCTCCCATACCACCTCCCATGCCACTGCCCATGCCACCTCCCATACCGGTGCCCATGCCGGATCCCATACCGGTAGTCATGCCAGACCCCATACCGGTGCCCATGTTACCGCCCATGCCACCGACCATTCCGCCACCCATGCCACTGAAATCGCCCATTGAGGAGCTGACGCCGCCCATGGGCATCATACCACCACCGGTGCCACCTGCGAAACCAGGCATGCCCATGCCCATGGAGTTCATCCCCATCGAGCTCATACCGCCGATCATAGGCAGCTGGCCCATCATACGCTGGTACAGCATAGACATCTGCTGTGGGTTCATGCTCGACTGCTGGCTCGCGGGGAAGGCCATTCCAGCCGCACTGCTTCCGCCCTCGAAGTCTCCCTCGTGGGTAGTCCGAGTCCGCACCTGATCACGCTGGCTGCGGGGCTGCGCGACTTTAACCTCGATCTAACGAGCACAGACAGGACTGGTCAGCGTCGGGGTGCACTGCGGGTAATTTTCGCGTGCGCTCACCATCTTGTCATCTAAAATCAGATCGCCCCTGCCGACGAGCTGATCTGTGTTGCTGGCATCTTCGAACGTCACGAAGCCGAAGCCTTTCGATCGCCCCGACTCTCTGTCGACCATGACCGTGCAGTCTACAACCTTACCGTACGCGGAGAAGAACGCCCGCATCGAGTCGGATGTCGTAGCATGTGAGAGGCCTCCGACAAAGTAGCGGGTATTGCGCAAGTGCTCCTCCCGAGGAATCGCGCGCTTGGGATCAATCTAGGACCACCATCACCAACCCGTATGAGACAGTACCACAACAATCAGAGAACTGGCGACATACAGCTTTCCCGTCTAGGATATGCTCTCGGACCATAACTGCATTGACGGAGCTCGGATCCTCGAATGTCAGGAATGCGAACCCACGAGACCGTCCATCATGATCCCGTAAGATGGTACAATCTTCTACTTTCCCAAACTCCGAAAAATACTTTCTCAAACCTTCTGCTCAAGCATAATGTATAGAAGTCAATTAGTAGATAAGTGCAAAAGCCCCGCAAATGAACGTGTACCGTCTGTGGTGTCCCAGCTGAGACCGCCGACGAAGAGTTTTCTGCACGACAGAAGATGCATCGGCACGGATTGGATGGGCGAGGCGAAGATAGCATTCAGAGCCATAAATGGTAGCGACACAAGTATGGTGACATGTCGAGGAGTACCGCGGTAAGAGAGATTAGTTTCCGTAGTAAGACAGCCAAGTATAGTCGCGGAGGGGAAAAAAAACACGAGGTGGACAGGAGACTAGCGGAGTGCAAGGGGTACACGACGTACGGTGCATACAGTAGCATAATAAACCGTATGGCATGAGGATACGAGGTGTCCAGATTACTAGTGCACTTTTTTATTGTAGAGCATAGCCATGTCTCGCCCGCACTGAAAATGGCAACCCACGACACAAAGAAAGTCAGACTCACCCTTCATCCTTCATTTCGGATGGCCTAACTGGTCGCCTGAGACCTGCATCATCATGCGCAGTAACATCGATAGCATCAGTGCCTCCTGCAGGTCGGGAGCTGGATTGATGGTGTGGTAACTGGCGTTCTTGAGCCGGTGTCTGCTTGTACGCTGAAAATTGTTGAGCAATCTGTGCCGAGTACGATAGCTGCGGGGATCCAGAGGGCTTTGCTGGAAGAGAGCTCTCTCCGCCTGTAGGGATGGGTTGTGGTGGAGGTGGAGGTGAGGGCAGAGCTGTCTTTTCAGGTTGTTCTTCCGTAGGCGAGGAGACCTGGGATGTTGACTCTTTCGCGTCGGTGCCGTCACCATAAAGGTCTATGAGGGGTCATTAGACAACGAAGTGAGAGCTGGAAGATGCATGCCTTCATAAATATCATCCTCGAGATGGGCCATAGGAAAAATACAATGAGTAGAGGTCAGTAGCAAGCTTGTCACGTCCAAAACACAGGGGCGCAGCCACAGCGTAGGGCACGGGCAGCACGACTGGGTGCCAGTCTGGCTGTCACACGATGTAATGTAACATTCCCACGCTCCATATTTGGTCATTATGTTTGAAACTGCTGCCACTGAGCAGCTTTTGTATTGCCAAATCCGCTGAATCTGGGCGAGTTCTGGGCGCATTCATGCCCACTACCAGTAGAGTGCTCCCAACAGCGTGAAGAGTCCTTGAAACCCACAACGTGAATATTGCCACCGTAGTATTTTCTCTCGCATGACTATGAGGCATGTATGCTTTAAAACCACCACTATGTGCTCTTGAAACCTGGAGCACGCCCCTAGTGGCGCTTTTATTACAAGTTGGAAACCCATCTCAGGGCCATCAGAGAGAAATCCTTACGTGAATTCTAGTCTAAAGAAACCGCGCCCCAGAAATCAAAAACAAAACAGCTAACGGTGCTCACCTTTCTGGTCTATTACTTATGTGATGGCCAACAGGACCCGTTGACGGGACCCTGTGCATACGACCCAATTTCGACGAACAAACAAATCCTTCCGAACAGCGTTTTATGAGTCGGTCCTCGCATCCGATCACCCGTCGATCAACATCCCGATGGATCTACAGCCCATTCCAGCGCCGCCAGCCTCCAGGGCCACACCCATAAGCGCGCCTCATTCTGGGACAAACTGGTCGGTCTTAGAATAAATTATGAATGCTACTAACAGCGAACGGATGAACACCTTCCTCCAAAGCACAAGCACAAGGTCTACATGCATCCGAACAATTACAACAAATGCCTGTTGTACAACAGCGGGCAGCAGCGCAAGCACTCTGGGCGAGCCGCCCCGTCGTGCGAGCCCTCGCCCCCGTCTTCCGCGCCGCTCACACAAAGCGCAATGTAACATACCGGTCTAGCTCAGTGGACGCTCCCGACCAACGCAGCCGCAGCCAGCCGGCCCTCTCGGATCCGCTGCTGCGTCCGCTCGGCAGCCGCGTCGTACACATAGTGCACCGGCTGCGGCCGCGATCTATGCCGCCCGTCGTCCGAGTCCGACTCGAACGCGTCGTCCGCCATCCGCGGCGTCTCGTCCGAGTGGTCATAGTACGTGTCGTCCGCGTCAAAGGCTGCAACGGCGTCAGTCTCGCAACGTATATAGCACCTGGGGGCAGCCGCAGATGGGACTCACGATCTGGCTCGGCGTTCTCGATAACTCTGCGCTTCCCAAGAGCTTTTGCACTTGGCCGGGTGGGCGTCTCGACCTCCTCCTGCACCGTCCCCACCTCCGCGTCATGGTGTACCCGTAAGCGGTTCATGTCTTGTGCTAGAGCATTGCCGTTGCGCGAGCTCTCAAAAGATCCACGCGAAAGCATATGGTGGTTGTTTATCGACATCCTCTCGGGCGAGGGTGTCCGTGACCGTGGCATGCCCTGTGAGCGCGACCGAGGTCCAAGCGGCGCGTGTGGGGGAGGAGCAAGTGATTGTGTCGATGGTTGCGCGGTAATAGTGTGTGATGCGTGCGTGACGTTTGGAGCAGGATGGAGGGGGATGGGCGGCAGGGGGTGGGGCGGATGAAGGGGAACAGAGTGGACCACGAACGATGGTGCAGAAGACAAGGACGGCGAGGACGGCGAGGGGGATGGACTACGGGAGGACGACGCGCCACCCTGACTGGGGTACCCTGTATCGAGGAATGGAACATGCAGGTCCCCTGGTCGCAATTGCTGGAAAGAGATCGAGACCCTGAATCAGGAGACTCCCATTCATACAAGATAGGCCTTACCGTCCTGTCCAATCTTGTTTCCTTGCGGCTTCTCTCCTCCGCTTCCCTCTCCATCCCAACGCGTTCGAGATCATCATACTGCCGCAGCGCTTCCATAAGGTCTTCGTTCGCCGCTAGCAGCGCTGCGAGTAGCTGTTCTTCCTGCGTCAGCTCGCCCCTTTCCAAGGCAGTGTGCGAAACCTGCGAGTCCGCGCGCGTGTGACTCGAATCAACTGACGGTCGCGTAGCAATGGGCGAGGCAGTCACCCCGCGCCCCGCGGCTTGCCGCGATCGCTCAGCACCGGCAAAGGCCCACGGGATTTGTGCAGAGACGAGTTCTTGCGAAGCGCGACAGCGCGCGTAAAACTCCTGTAGGCTCAAAGGTAAGCGGCTAAACAAACGCGCTATCAAACGATGCACGCGTACTTTGATGATATCCTTCTGTTTCAAATCTTCCGGTTTCGCGAAGGTAAGTGATTCCGATAGCAAAGACGCATTCCCTCTTCCAACTTTGCATTCTTGAAACAGTCGACGCATGTCTTCATCCGGGGGGATCACGCGGGTGTGATATGATGTTTTTGGTTTAATTGTTGTAGCCTGCAAATGTCAATCACAATCTGGTATGGCGAATTGCACAGATTAGACGTACGGTTACTGGTGGCCGCTGAGTTGGTGCTACAAGGGGGTGATCGGGAGCAGGTGGGGGGTGCTTGGGTGTTGGAGGGTAGAACATTGCATCGCCCGTGTCGAATGGTACGCCCTGGGTACACGTTTAGGCCCTTCAGTATACGCGCGATGAGATCACTCACTTCATCAGGCTTGTCTGCCGGTTTTACTTTTCGCCAGAGGGTGCGAAAGGCGACCTCCTTGCCATCTGTACAAAGGAAAAGAAAACTTAATCGCTATTCGCATTGAGGGCGTGTAACGGAAGGGGCGCGAAGTATGATTTTTCAAAGCAATCGAAGACTCACCGCTACCACATGCATAGGCAGCAGCGGCCAAAACCTCTAAAAGGCGTTCGCGCACCACGGGCGAAGTGCGTGGAGAGTTGATCACTTCATCTAGATTGTCTAGGAACTTGCGCGACGCGCATTGCCAGATAAATTTGTCTGAAGAATTGCGCAGCATGATGGCCCAAAGCTTTGGGATAGCGGAACGTAAGTAGGAATGCGAGGAGGGCGAGATGGGGAGCATACCCGTGCAGCAGACAGTTGCGCAGAGGGCTCCGCGTATCTGTACACCAGAGTGAAGCGTGTGACCTCCTTGGAGAGTACGAGATCAGAGCAAATGCACATACTTGAATTCACGCTTGAGCGCTTTGGCTGCCTCCTTAGCATTGGCATCCGAGGCTGAGGCGCGTTCGCAGACTTCGAGGACAAGAGACCAGTCCTCGGACGAGGTGGCGGTAAGGTAGCCTTAATGCAGACGACGCAGTGAGCAAGGCAGCCAAAGAAGTAGCGAACCTTAAGACGCGAATAGCACGCACCGATGACCCTGGTGAGGTCTGCCTGGGAATCGTGGTCCTTGTCGCGCGGGCGCTCCTTGTCCTTCTCTCTTGGAACCCAGAATCCGCGTTTCTCCTTCTCCTTTTCCCTCTTTTCTTCGCGAAAAGAGTGTTCGGTCATGCCATCGTCAGAGACATCTGGCTGATTGGGAGGCTCGACATGGGGATCGAGGGCTCTCAGGATGCCAAGGGCAGCAGAGGCGCTGACACCATTGGGCTTCTTGCGGAGGAGCTGAGGCTGGGGGTCGCGGTGGGCGTGCTTTGGCGGAGGGTGTGGGACGACAGTGTGGTGGTTGGAGGAGACGGGAGAGGCAGCACGAACGGCGGAAGGAGGGCCAGAAGATGGGATTGGGGGAGTGTGGGGAACTGAGAGGGTGGAGCGGGCGGTGTAGGAATGTGCGTCGCTGTCGATGAGGCTCCAGTGCTCGTCGGAGGAGTAGGGAGTGAGAGACTGAGACCGGTCGTGGCGCTGGGCATACGAATGAGGAAGGGGGTACTGACGGGCGGATGTGTATCACTATCAGGGCAGGAAAGATGGCGGACGTACGTCTGTGGGCACGCCGGAGCCAATGTCTGATGGGGCGGGCCTACCCTTTGCCTTGTCGCGACTAAAGAGTTTCTTCATCAAGAGCAGGCAGTGCGAGAAGGAGGGAACGAGGAGGAGGTGATGGACGTCGACGTCCACTTGGCCTCAGCCGCGGGGGCTGTGCCCCAGAACAACTTGTCTGAGCAGCGCGTGCCACTAGCCGCCCGCCCCATCACACGCCGCGTCGCAGTCAGTCTCATTTATTTACCGCTCACGGCTAAGTAGTACTCTCTTTGATCAGAGTCACTATCGCGGACAGGACGGCACAAATACGTTGTACAACTAACTCTACATCACACTGCGTTCAAGTCTGAGCGGTCGCAATACCATGAATTAAAATTACAAGCGACGCGCCACAATGAGCACCATTGGACTGAATAACTATTCCACAGGTAAGTGACGCCTCGCAAGCGAGCAGCATTGATCCCCCACCTTTGCCTTTCCAGCTTGTAAAATTGCACGCGCAGCAGGATTGCGCAACGAACTCGTCGAAGACCCCGTGATCCACCAAGCACCCGAAAGCGGACGCTGCCAATGGTCTCTATCCGCTTTCTCCAAGACATTATACCAGCGGACATCGTCTGGTCTGGTTGCGAGGTCCTCGAAGTGTTCTACTTGAAATCCCGCGGATTCAACTGTCGACTGCGCAACCGACATCGGTGGGACGTTAACAAGGTCCCCGCCAGGTCGGATGGTGTCTTGGATTCGGTGACGAGCCTTGGAGTGTTCTGCAGACTCTGCGTCCCACACGTTGGTCATGCACCAGGTGTAACATGCAAACTGCGGAAAACATGTCCGCTGTTGGCGAGGATATGTTTCAACAAAGAACAAACTCACTTTCGTTCCAGGTCTCAGAACGCGACTTATCTGAGCACACACCACGTCGAATTGCGAGAAAGCCTGCGTAAAGAGGTCCATCTTGTTGGCCAAGGGATAGCATTCATGGAGACACTAACCGCAATGGATTCTACCGAGAACGCCGCGTCGAAAGAATCATCACTCAAGGCGTCGCATTCACCGTTCGTCCCCACTTATAGTCGTATATCGGTCGCGGATCCCAACTAGTGAAAATAAATTCCTCACTTTGGATGAACTGCACGCGAGCCGACAATCCTGCCATAGTCGCGTATCTACGTGCTTGTTGTATCTGCAGCAACGCAATCTCAGAAAGGCCCGCATCAACAAAGACCGGCACATACATTACCCTCGTCGGTGTCGATACCGACCACCGTTACATCGGCAAACTGCGCCAGCTCGCGACATCGAGCGCCTGTGCCACAGCCGACTTCCAAAATTCTCATACCCTGCTGGACGCCCAGATGCATGAACAGATAGTGCTCATGTCGGGCGAGACACTTCAAGAATGGTTCACCGCGGAATTGCCGAGAGAAGTGGAAATTGTCGGTAAGCCCGTAGTCTTCCGCCTCCTGGTGTGTTATCCAGTTCCTGTATCTAGCGCGGAGGACCGACAGTCCACTTAGCAAGAGGCCTTGGAGCCATGAGCCACGGTTTGAGCCGTTGCAGCGCGTGAGATGATTTGGCCCGTATGCTCACCTACGTCCATCGCAGAGTGTCGTCCGTTGGCCAGCAGGGAGTCCATCATAAAACGCACCAGCAAGAGGGCAAGCTAAATGCTCTCGCGCTTGGGTTCCGAATAGCGAGTGGACAAAAGGCAGACCTTATAACGAAGAGGGGTTTGAGAGGATGTTATAGAAGTCTCTCGCCCATGACATTGTATGTTGGGTGTGATTTGAAAAGCTTTTGAGAGCCGAGATAGCTATGTCAAGTTGACGGTCGCATTTTTCCAACAGACGTTTTTGCAACCGGTCTAAGAACTTTCCAACAGACTTCGATCGTATAGTGCTCCGGATCAAGGTGTACCCGGATGCGAACATTCAGGGTTACTCAGAAGCAAGGTCTGATTATTGAAGGCATCGGCGAGTCGAACCGCGGAGTCTAACCGGCATCCAATCTCATGATAATTAGCATCCATTTGATCAGTCAATGTCTGACGACATGACCCGTGATCGGTGCCGAGCTACTCGACGAACAGCTCTGTTACAGTGGGTAGTAGGCCAATGAGTCGCTTTCACTATTTTATCACGAACGATCGGTTGGTTATTGGCGGTGTCGTTGTGGCCATGATTGACATGATTCAGACCCAGTGCTTGCTAGCCTCGAAAGTATAAGGAGGCCGTTGTTGTACTCCTCTGGTTTATCGGCGATACCTACCCGTCAAGCTTCGATTCATTCTAGCTGAACGCTGGCATATACCTTGAGTGACAGATACCCGCCGAGCTCAAGCCTTAGAATCAAGGGATCCTGTCTACTATACCAATAAAGCTAGTAGCGGGACCTAGGGGGCTCAATATCATTTGCATTTCCCTCACAACTTCGAAGCGCACGCTCTATCGCATAAATATTTCCGGCGCTGCGTTAAATGCAAACACGTCATTCGATATCGCTTTCTTTCACTCGCATTTGACGCATCAAGCGAGATCGTTCAGTGAGTGGTTGTCAGTGGGGCTCCGAGGAACAGTACACGGCGTACTTATGGCAAGCATCACCGATATACATGCCACTCGCGGCATTTAATGGAAATCTTCAGAATAGCTGGAAATGCTTGCTCAGCCATCAGGGCGAGATGGCTCGGAAACATAATAATAAAATACTAGTGATACACCGCGCCCGAAGGCCCATCTACACGAAATAAGAGGACATGGCACCCTGGTTACATGTAGGTGGAGCCATCAGGGTAATATCCTCGTTAAATAAGTCAGCTGAAAACGCACCATCTTACGCTGCTTCTGCATCCCCTGATCTCGCTCGTTCTCTTCCGCAGCATCGTAGACCGTGAAATCCCTGCCGCCGTCTTCACGAATCGTCAGGATAGAGGCCATATTGCCACACCGATAGCAATAGTTGGGAGCGGACCAGACAGTAACCAGCTGTTCGTCAAACATGTATTTATATCCCTCCTGGACTAGTTGGTGGGCCCGTGCAATGAGTTGCAGTGAATTGACATGATTGAACTGGATGGACACAGTTAGATCGCATATAGGCGAGAAATCATGAAAATAGTGCTGTACCTCTTGAGTAACGTTCCCGCCGAACAACCAGCCTGCACCACGAGGGCTAATGGCCCAATTCTCTATCTCATCTGGATCAGACCACATGAGGTCTTGGGCGCCATGTTAGGTCCGACCAGGGAGACGGATTCCCTATATCATGCATACCACAAAATGCGCCTTCGTGAGGAATCTCCTGAGCACGCGATAGCACACGGATTTGATCCAAAGTCCGAATATCTGGCGACAGTCCACCATGTACACAAAGCGTCTCCCCGTCAATGATCTGAGCAACGCATGAGTCATCGCACAAGCAGACTTATAAAACATACCGCGGCAAGGTTTAAATAATCAAAAACGCTACAACACGCTTTCCACACGAGCGCACTGCCGTATTTCTGTTGACACTCATCTACACCTCCGTATTAACTTCGTAAGATGTGAGCCGAATAATAGACTCACCATAAAACCCATATACCTGCGTGATTTGTCTGCTTTCGTGGTTCCCCCGCAACAGAGTTACCCTGTCGGGGTATCTGCGGAAGAGGTCAGAGCCGCCAGAATTCGTGGATTCTATAGTTGTACTTTGCTTTCAATACCAACAACAACGAGACTGTCTCCAGGCTGTAGTGTCCTCGGTCGACAAAGTCACCCTGCAGAATGATTAGCAGCCTTCGCGAGGCGGACTGGGGAACACATGCGTACCATGAAGATGTAGCTCGTCTGCGGAATCTCTCCCCCCTTTCGTAACAGTTCCAGTAAATCCCAAAACTGCCCGTGTATGTCGCCGCAGATAGTAACAGGACTCGAGACAGGCTGGATATTGGACTCTTCCATTAGTATCGAGCGCACTCGCTCGCAGAGGGCCTTCATGTCCGATTCAGCAAGATGCTGGCATTGCATAAGTTGCCCTATCCATTTGTCGGAGTCGAAGGACGGCATCGCGAGATGAGTGAAACTTGGATTCTAGTAGAGGTCGACGTCGCTGTTACGCAAGCAGTGTGCACAAGATCGTGGGCGCCAGAACTACGAGCTATGCGTCCTTCGCTGCAGCTTTCTACCTCTGCCATCATAAGTCTTGTTCAGTTCGGCCGTAGAAAACTGAAATATGTACACGGTCGAATTGGAGCGATGACGCGTAGGATGATCACAGTGTGATTTCTTTCTAAGAGGCCTCTCTACGCGGCTTTCTACGCAGCTATAAGGCCTAACTGAACAAAGCTATTACAATATCATCCGTCATTCTTCATTCAATCTCGTCCTTTAATACTATGGCGCGCGTTTCAAAGGATAATGTTCGCCTCATCGTCATTGTGACCGGCGCAAACGCGTACGTTTTCACTCTCTTTATTTTCGTACAAAGACGGACGATTCATAGGGGTATCGGATTTGGATTGTGCCACCGCCTACTCGTCCAGCTGTCACAAGTGAATCCTCCAGATTCACGACCATTGTTTGCACCATCAACGCCCTACACGAAAGTGAACGAATCCGTTTTTGCGAGCAGCCCATCCCCGCCTCGACTCACACTCATACTCGCATGCCGTGACACGACCCGTGCGGAGAATGCTAGAGCGGCGCTCTACGGGCTCCTGGATACCTACATCGCTCAGATACCGCGGCCCTCGGAGGACAGCGTCTACGCGTCCGAGTTTCGGAAGAATCTCCAGCTGAATATTCACCGTGTCGACTTGAGTAACACGCAAAGTATCCTGCGGTTCGGGAGGGAGATATCACAAAAGTGCGTATTGATCTATATTATCATTTTTATCACGTTCCCATCGTCTCGTGTAGGTATCCATATATTTCGCATTTAATCTGTAACGCCGGCGTATCAACTTACAGCCATATTGACTATATCGTATTCGCTCGACAGTGCCTCGAGTCATTTCTTGACGCTGTGCTGCATCCAACGTACAACGTGCAGAAAATCGGTGTCATGAGCGGGGACAATCTTGGCTTCGTCTGGCAGTGCAACATTTTTGGGCACTATGTCATGGTGAGGAGACAGCAATCCTGGCCCTGAACGTACTAATCGGAGTGCGTTAGTTCCGCCAGCTCCAGTCGTTACTAGCCAAGTACAAGACCATTAGTAAATGCTCGTCCCGCACCATATGGATGTCTTCCGTCGACGCACTGCCGCTATATGAACCCACTGATGACTGGCAGCTCACTAAGACTAGCGCCTCGTATCAAGCGTCGAAGTCCCAAACTGATCTTATGACAATGGCCCTCGCACAACCATGTGGAACGGAGTGCAACGGGCATGAAGCCACGATAGAACACTTACTCGTAACACCTGGAATTACGCCGACAAATATAGCTGCCGAATTGCTGCGGTCATATATTCTCGAGCTGCTCATGCTGCTATTCTTTTATATTGTGCGTTTCTTGATACTCCCTCTGATATGATACTAACACTGCCTCCCCAGTGTCGTTGGATCGGCTCGCCTCATATTCTGTTCTCCACGTATAAGGCTGCCGTTGCGGCCTCACACGCTGCGCTCGCCCCGCTCTCCCACCTTCCGCGTTTCGTTCATGACGATAGCGCCGTAGCATTCCCGAAATTCAGCGCGCAGACCGACCGGTGGGGGAACGAGAGTGTCGGAATCATTCCTGTACGCCAGTGGCAGGAACACCCCGATGAGGGTAACAATCTCATCGAGCGATGCGAGCGATTATACCAAACGTTTCTGAAGGCGGAGATACAGAAGGAGTATTGAGAACTAGACTAGGGTATATACCTCTTACTTTTAGATGGCATTAATGTGCAGGGTATCTCCCATTTACAAAAATCTTCTTTTACTACCATTGATGAGGTTTTAAAAAATGAATGTTTTCACAAGACCAACCCGCCTGAACGCGTGGCCGAGGACCTCGGCGGCCGTACCAGTCTGCCGCTGCAGCCTATAGCTATACCTGCCCTCCGCGAGAGCAGTGACACCTACTCGCCGCGCTCGAGTAGCGGCACTTGCCTGCCGTGTCAGGCAGCGACACTTACTCGCCGCGTTCGAGTAGCGATTCATGCCCGCCGCGTTCGGGCTAGTTTATCTGCCTTGTTTCTACTCCCACCACCTCTATTTTATTCGGTAACATTACCGGTCGAACATTCTGGGCTTCCGTAGAGCGGATAGACCACCACACCATCTACTCAAGCTATGCTCCTCAGCCTGCTCGTATGGGCTGCATTCGTGATACGACACTCTGCGTGAGCGCACAAAACTGGCAGAAGAGGTCGATCTATCAGGTAAGAATTGATCTGGGTCGATTTCAGAGGGGACTAAACACACACACACGATGATAGCTGGTCACTGACAGATTCGCTACGACCGACGGGTTGGCTCCATCATGCGACACCAGCGAGCGCGGGTACTGCAACCGCATTTGGAAGGGTATAATCAAACTACATCCAGAGGATGGGCTTCGACGCCGTATGGGTTTCGCCCATTGTCGCGAATCTTGAGGGCCCGATCGGCGATGGGGAGGCATACCACGGGTAGTGGTCAGTCGACCACAACGCGCTCAACGCACACTTCGGGTCCGAGTCAGATCTCAAGCAGCTCAACACAGCGCTGCACGCGCGGAGGATGTAATCCATGATTGACGTTGTCGTTAATCGCATGACCGCGTCGTCTGTCCCGCCGACCTATACCGCGTTCGAGCCATTGAACCGACAGTTTGACTTCCATTCGTTTTGCTGGATCACGGACTACAGCAATCAGACGAACGTCGAGTAGTGCTAGCTGGGTGATCAGAATGCGCCGCTTGCAGACATGGATACGAAGGATGAGGACATCATAAACTTCTTCTACTCGTGGATCCAGACGCGCGTGAACAGCTATGGCGCCGGAGCATGTACGGAAGGAATTCTGGCCCGATTTCGCGCAGGCGTCAGGTGTCTTCTCTCTAGGAGAGGTTCTCGATGGAGATATCCAGTATGTGAGCCAATATACCCGTACATGCCTGCCGTCTTGAGAGGAATTGTCACTCACGCCTCAGATATTTAACCAAATATAGAAGTCCTCGACAGCATCTTGGACTGCCCAGCATTCTACCTTCTCATGTGGGCATTCACAAACGCTAGCGGCGACTTGTCACAGCTTGCAAACATAGTGCAAGCTGAACAGAGCGCCTACAAACACGGTGTCTTCATAACTGGCGCACTCCTAGAGAATGCAGACAATCCACGGTTCCAGACTTTTCAGACAGATCAAGCGGTGTGTAGTCTGTTTGACGGTCAGCGAGGGCAGGCAGTCATTGACAGAATTCAACACGCACCGGTAGCTTGTTATGAATGATGCTATGACTTGGCCGTTCTTTGGCTGCGTTCGCCCCACTTTCCTACCTTCCATGTTTCGTTATGCCGATAACGCTTCAATACCAGGAAAGCTGCATTAAACGGCATTCCCAAAGTTCAGCATGCAGAGCGATCGGTGGGGGAGGAGGAGAGCGTTGAGATCGTGCCTATATATCAGTGCACGACCATCCCGATGAGAGCACTCGTCTCATCGAGCTGTGAGAGCGATTGTACCAAACTTATTTGAAGGCCGGCCCTCGCGTTGGTCAGCGCCCCTGACGTGTTGTAGCAAAAGCACTTCGTGCGGCGAATGCAAAGGATAGCCGGACACGCCCAGGAGGAGACTTTGACGTTGTGTCAATAGCTGTCATCGTATGTATTACCTATAAGTATTACGTCCTACCCCAATGTCTAATACAGCCATAGATTCTTGACATGGATATGCCGGCCGCTCAGCGGGGCACGTCCGCACCAGGACTTCCTGCTCTGCTGACAAGGCGACTCACGGGGGCGCTATCATCGTAGTCACTGCCTTCCGCCATGAGCTCGGCGTGTCCCATCCGCGCGAGCTTCTTGTCGAACACGCGCATCCGGTACCGCGATACGATGCGTTCGAGGAGGTCCGATGTACTCACTCCTGGAGTGCGTCGCGTGGGGATGAATTTGCCTGCATGAATCAAGGAATATTTGATAGAGAATAGGATGGACATATCGTAAGATTCGGTGTCCGGTAACAATCGGTTGACATACCTTGTTGTTTACAGTATCCATATACATCATCTATCCCCGCACTCACGTACGGATCCTCGTCGTGGGCGACGTAATCAATTTGGTGCTGTAGATTCAATCATTTTCGTCGTCAGTATTATTGCTAGAGGCGTAAGGAGAAGAAGTAAACTAAGATACATCCCCATGGGATGCTTAGAAGTAATGATGGTAATCCCACAAACCAACACAATTAAAGATAGAAACACCAGGATAAAGGAAACTTGGAAAGTGAATGAACACTGTACTTGCTCGCTCTGAAAAAGCTCATCATGAATGTTGTAGCAACCGTTACGTTATGGCGAACTACATCTCAAACATAAGAGGCGTTTCGGCGCATATATGCGTTCAATACTCGTCATCCGGAGTAACGAGCCAAGCAGACAGCATAAACGTGTAAACAGGGACGATGCATAGGAGATGAAGGTGATGAATCGTACCTTCTGCAAAAACTCTTCGCCAATCACCCATGGTGCGTCTGGTAATACCTCATCGATCCATCGACAATGGCGTACAGCTTCGCAACTGTCAGGTACAGATGCGTACTGATAAGTACCCTAACATACACCGGGTGTGGATCCAAAAAACATGAACGTACCGTTCTGCGTGGCTCATCACCGCCAGATTCTTATGCTCGGTACATTGCTCATCCGAATTTACGCCAGCAAGCAGATATACACCTGGGAGAGTTCCCGATGGTGGTGCTGTGTCAAGCGGAGATGGGCGGGCACTACTGCTTGCAGAAGGCGTCGTGTTTGGGGACTTGTGGTATTGCAACTTTTGCTCCTTAGAGGCCCCGTCACTTTGATTGGAACCGTGAGTTTGCAAGGAGGTAGGGGACACAGGTATCGGAGGGAAAGACAATTTTGCTTGGCGAAGCTGGAGAGCATGTCTGGTAGGATGGTCACAGACAAGGGGTTAGAGGAGAGCTAATTGGACAGTCAGAGTAGCGTACCCAAAATGGAAGAGATCGTAGACTCCTACAAGATGTTATAAGGCTTCAAGTACGGTATGTGCGTGTCAAAAGTGCCCACCATCAGCGTATACTCGCGCAGGGCGGTCTTTCGGAGGGGGGTTTATCTTGTACGGCCGTTTCGCGCCTTCTTCTCCCTCGCGCGCAATTGCCTGGCGCACATATTCCTGAATGTCTTCCGGGGTCAGCCTTGCAGGATTGAACGCCTCTATTGCGATCGGCGCGGGAGGCGGCTCCGCGGGGTTGCCTTTCTGGGTGGATGACGTCGTCGTCGTCGATGCCAGTGGCTCAACGAGCTGCGGCTGCAATGATGGGGGAGGGGAATTGGAAGGGGAAGTGAGGGTGGATGCCGAAGAGGGCGCATAGTGTGTGCTACTCGAATCGTAATCGTGATCACGTTCGCGATTTGCACCGAGCATGGTGCTGCTCTCGATGTCGCCGTCGTATGTGGGGGAATCAGTGCCCGCATCGTCGTCGGATACAAGGGCCACGAGGACGTGGCGAGGACGAGGGGGAGGGCGGGAGACAGCGGGCGAGCGAGAGGCCGACGAGGAATGTGAGGATGGATTAGACCCGGATGCAATCTGAAGGCGAGCTGACGGAACAAGAACAGAGATGGCGGACGATGCGTCGTCGGTGAGAGGGTCGTTGTCCTCTTCAGAGGCATCGTAGGCAGCAGGAGAATCGAGAGCAGCGCGAGAGTGGGGGTGATTGTGAGCGTGGGGGTATGCCATGGCTGCGTGTTTTGTGCCAAAGGAACGCTTGGAATGGAGAGTGCGTTTGGCGGGAATCGCGTCCATCGTGCGAGGGAGGCCTTTTGACCAGGGGAGGAGCGACGGAGCTCGAGTCGTCGACGAGTGGATTCCGCCAAGCTTGCTCGCCCTCGGCACCCTCCGGTCGCACGTGCGTCATCCCATTTGGCATCCCTCCTTCCTCTTTCAGGCCGAAGACAGCTCAACTCGTAGGGATCATGTTCTCGGTACACCGACGGTACACGCAGTCGCACGGTCGACAAGAGCTAGACTTCGCTTCTTTGAGTGAACCTGATAACTCATGGGCCTACAGATAATCATTTATTTGCGTAAAACTTGTCTCCCTTTAATAATTAACGGCCTCTCGAGTGGATGATCCTATATCTCGTCATCCACCAACTCGCACGTTCCTCAAGTACCTTGGGCATAAAATAGGAAAGAACGGCCACGTAACGCGGATAAAAACGTGCTCATCGAGACTTCTAAGTTGCCGTACATGATTGTCTTGCCAGCGACTCTGAAAAAAAGTGTAGGAGACATGAGACACAACATCCAAGAATGGCAATCGATGGAACATACTATAGTAATTGGTGAATAATTCGTGCGGCTCGTAACTTAGGGATCTGGGATGCAGTCGACAGCGATACGTGATTTGACCGCCACACCAACTTGTACCATGTGGATTTGACTTTGAATGATTCAATAACTTGAGGCGATATCCCTTTAATATGTCCCCCTTGCGCATTATGGTATCCGCTATATTCATTGAGTTGATGAAGTACTCTGAATCCAGGTATCTCAAAAAACTACCAGATTAATTCAGTAATTTTGAGCTATGTGACTCGAATTAAGTCTACTATGCTCTTTAGAAAGTTCTGTACATGTTGCACTGTAATTCTCGCTGAGATTCCACTTAGTCAAAGAAGGCACTTCGAGCGCGTCCCGAGTTTGTCGACCGTCCCTTAATACTAACGCCAACTTGCCATGCACTGCACTACTGGATGGTGCAAGGGGTGCAGAAGATTATATACTCGGTTTTGAATGGCGGATGGTACGTATCCAACGACACGCGCAAGAGACGAGGTACTGAGGTACTTAGCACAATGAGGCTGGCCATGCTTATGGCGTGTAGACCACCATCAGAACCGATTATAAGGGAGCCTCTCAGTGACTGTTCCAATAGTCCGAGTCGACAGGCGTACCGACGTCGTAACGGTGTGAATGTGACAGGCGCGTCCAGTCACGCGCACCAGAGCAGCCTGAGGATTACAGTTGAACGCGTCCGACGACTGTGACTGAGGTACGCTGGAAAATGGGAGTCGCTGGCTTGTGGGATGTGCGTATCCAGTTGCACTGTGTCTCGCGTATTAATCATGAATAGATCCTACGCCCTGCGGGAGAAACACGCTCGTTAACTCATCTCGCTGTTGTCGATGGCTTCGAGGCAAATCCTCAGGGCGTAAGGGGTTTTCGAGTCGGCATTGACGCAAGCATCTGGTTTTTCCACGCAGCATACGGTCGCGAAGGCGAGAACCCTGAACTACGGACTTTATTCTTCAAATGTACACGCCTGATGAGCGCACCTTTCCTGCCACTGTTTGTTTTCGATGGTCCCAAGCGTCCAGAGGTAAAGCGTGGCAAGCGGATTAGTGGTAAGCATCATTGGATGGTGCAAGGAATGCAGAGGATCATCGATGCATTTGGCTTTGAATGGCGAATGGTACGTGTTCGTAGACACGCGCTTAAGGCGAGGTATTAAGGTAGCACTAGGCACCTGGTGAAGCTGAAGCAGAGCTAGCCTACCTGAATCGTATTGGTATCATTGATGCCGTCTACACGGACGACGTGGATACCTTTCTCTTTGGAGCGAAGATGATTTTGCGCAAGTGAGTTTTATTATTATTCTATCGGCACTTCGACTTCATACGTCCATCTGTCTTTGAACACACTGACCCTTCTATCCTTAGCCCTAGCGTTACATTGTCCGGAAACCGCGCTCATTCCCTCAAAAATGGTGCAGGAAGGGACGATGGAAACCACGCCGCCACCTATACCTCACACAATATCTTGAACCACCCTTCGGTTCAGCTCACTCAAGGAGGACTCATTCTCATTGGTATTCTCCGTGGAGGTGATTACCATCAAGCAGGACTTCAGGGCTGTGGTGGTACAATTGCACATGGACTAGCAAAGTGTGGGTTCGGCGACTCGCTCCTCCGCGCTGCTCAGACGCTTTCTCGGGAGAAACTTTCGGAATTTTTAGATACGTGGAGAGAAGAACTGCGGGTTGAATTGCGAACAAATGCTCGAGGGCTCATCGGCAAGAAGTATCCCTCCCTCGCAAAGTCCATACCCAGCGATTTCCCTGATATTGAGGTGCTACTGAACTATACGGATCCTATCACATCGGAATCTAATTCGACACGACCCAAGAAAATTTTCATCGACTGGGAGAAGGAGCCAGACCTTGGAAAAATTGCAGAGCTATGCGAGCTGTACTTCGAATGGGGGGTGAAAGAAATCATAATCAAGCGCTTCAGAACTGTTCTCTGGCCTGCAGCAGTCCTTCGCATCCTAAGGCGTGCTGCTCTGCTGCGAGATAAGAAGGCTACCAGGATCGGGATTAACTCGAGTCAACCTCCCTCGACGCCTACCAAAAGTGGGAGGCCGCGACCGGTACCTGGCACACCATCTTCTATGATAGTGAAGCACTTCTCAGAGTTGCAACTTGGGACGCCTACCCGTAAAGGTAAGATTGACTCGGATGATGAACAAGATGAAGAGGAACCTTTGATCGTCAAGATTCACTCGTCTCGAAAGCATGCGACGACGGACGGAGTCCTCGAGTACCGACTAGAGATTGCGCCTGCCCAACTCGTCCGCCTATGCGAATCAGGTATCAAAGGTCTTCGACACGAAGTTGTGACTGGCCTGGATGACTCGAACGATACCACAGATGACGACGACGAAGACGCGCCCAGAGGCAAGAAGACCAAGAAGCCGCCCCCGGAACCAGAAAGTCATCTCCGTATCTGGCTACCGGCTTGCATGGTGCGTATTGTGGAACCTGAGCTCGTAGACGAATTCGAGGGCATACAGGAGATGCGCCAGGCAAAAAAGGCGGGCAAGTCTATGCGCGCTCCGCGGGCATCAAAGCCCAAGGCTCTACCTGCGAAGGTGAAGAACATCTCGCGTAGTGCAAATGATGGCGCGGAGTCGGAGGACGATATGGTTCTACCGATACCGAAGAGAAAGCCCAGGATCAAGCCATCTGTTGTCCAGATTGAAGATGCAATAAAGCAAGATTTCTTCCCCCCAGAAAAAGTGCCACCTAAAGCGAAGAAGGCTGCATCAGCTACGGGAAAGATTGCAGCACTATTCTCGCAGTCGGACACGATTCATGAGATTGATCTCGGCGATAGCTCGCTTCATGAATATGCTGGTCGCAGCCGTTCCAAAAAACCTGTGCGAAAACCATCTGTAGCATCATCGTCATCTTCATCGTCAGCCAATTCGAAGGCCACGTCCACTCGATATACGACTCCGTCTCCCCCCAAGAGCCGCTTTGTCCCTGCTCCGTTCCCGCTCTCTTTTGACGACGACCTACCCTCTCGTCCAACCCAAGGTGTAAAGCAAGCTGATATTGATCTTGCGAATCCTTCCATGCAGCACACTCGAAGTACTACTCCTCCGTCACCCCCTAAGTTCATCCCAGCTCCATTTCCACTTCTCTTCGATGACAATCATCCTCTTCATTCGACCCGAGCTTCAGGGCAGAACAGTGTCAGATCCGTGGATCGCCCTCGGTCGAGCACGCCAATCCGGTCACGCAATCTATCGCCCCCAACTTCTGACGTCGACTCCCCTTGCTCGTCTGTCCATAAGTCGCCACGAAAGTCCCAGGAACACACTTCCCCGCGTTCCAAGTCTCCCACACACCGAGCCCCTGATGCATCCGACTCTGACCGTGCAGTATCGCCATCACCGATGCGAAGCCGACCTGTCATGCCCGCTCTCAAGCTTACATCCTCCCCATCACGCTCAAAGTGGAATCGATCTATTATAGAGATTTCCAGCGACTCCGATTCTGAGGTCGTGTTGAAGCTCAAGGCAACCAAAAAGCCCTTGAAACCCGTAAAGCCTCTTGCCGTCGCGAGAGCCATGTCAACTTCAGCGACTGTTCGCCTCCCCGCGTCAGTAGCTGGTGCCCCAAGTGGATCAACTGAGAAGACAGGCTCCTCTCGATCCCGGCCTAAGTACACAGAACCATCGAACTCAGACAATGTTATTGATCTAACTTGATTCATGATACACTCATACCACCAATCGCAGTGACGTACAAAAGTAATTGTTTTCGTGATCATTATTGTATAGTTGGGTGCGAGATAATGAATGTTATGGTCTCGTGGTATGCAATGATGGCTACAGACTAACACAGTAGAGACTAGATGGATACGATATACCTAAATGATTTCCAAAGACCCTATTATTACACTCTTAGTATGCTGCTGTGAAATCTCGGTGGACTTGACCCATTACACCTGCCTCTGCAGGTGGTGGTTGAGGTGCATCAGACACCTGCGCCCGGAATCTTTTGATAGCTTGCAGTCGCGCAAGCCAGTTAGTCGGCATTTCGACGCGCACTGTATCATTTTTCGTGTGCTGAAAGACAGAAACGAACCAGTCTGTCAAGAGGCTAAGTTGTCGAACAAGGAGAGGGAGGTTTTCAGCGGAAATAAGCTTGAAATCCCCGATGGGCGAGAACTCGGTCATCCCAGGAGCGCGCTGTACAATGACCTTGAAGTACTCGTGTTCGTGCAGGTTGTTAGAGAACGCAGCGATCGCTCCTCGCGAGTGCGGCTCGATGACGATGTTGACAAATTGGAACTGAGTTGCCAGGGTATCAAATTTATATGGCATGCCGGAGTCGTTCCAGACGATCCGGACGAAATCGTTACCGATATGTCGCTTCTTGTTCATCGAACGCTCATCCCCAGAAGATGGCATCATTGTTGCCGTATGATAGAGAATTTGCCCGATGTCGTTCCACCAGGCATACGCATACTCGCCATCCTCGTCAGGGTCCAATCCTCCGACGTACACATCTGTTTGGTCACGTAGCTTGATCAGCCTAGCTAATCCCTCCAGGAAACGACTATATGCTGGCGACCCGTGGGTGTTCCGCAAGATTTCGCTCTCGTGCGTTTGACCAGGTGCAACGTACATAATGCCTACTTTGTGGGTATCAATGACCGGCATGCGATCCAACGAACGGAAGAAGTTGGATAATCGTTTGGAATCATTGACGAGCTTCATCCTGTTGGGAACATTCTCAGGATACGAAGACAGCTGCAATGCGAAGTAGGAAGGATCGATGGCGACGGTCTTCCGCCGCTGAGACGGCGCAGAGCCACTCCAAACATATCCTGTGATTGGGTCCGGCTTCGGCGGGGGTTCATCGCCATCCTGGGTGAGAGTTTGTTGCAGGTCATGCTAACACTGTAGTGAATGATCATGACAAGTGCGGCGCGTAAACAGCTTACCATAAGCGACCCGTTTTCTCTAGGAGACGATAAAGTCTGCGCAATAGAAGACGCTGAAGACTGCACTCCACGTTCGAGAGTAACACTAGCAGCCAACGCTACCATGTCTGGATCATCATCTCCGACCGACACCATAGGCACATTCTCTACCCTGCAAATGAACTTTGTGAGACCCGAAGCCCGGCGAGACATAACTTCCACCCAACCACGTCTCATCAGTGATCGGACCGTGATCACTGCATTGCCTGCGATCCATGTCTTCTCACTGATAGCAGGCTCCGAAGACCGTTGCTGGAGGGCAGGGTTCATCACTAGCTCACTCAACATGGAACTTGCAGGACGTGGATCGGCGCTGCCGTAAGTATATCGCGCCAGCCAATCAAAGCAGACTTCGGCGGGCTCGTCTACCTCTTCCTTTCCTTCGTTGGCGAGTAGCAACTGACGCGAGATGAACTTGATATGCCGTGGGCGATCGGGAAGATCAACAGCCAAGAACCAGATATAAACAATATAGTAGGACATGATGCGGACATGCTGCGATAGCGCCCACGACATCGTCACAGACTCGTCTGGCCGGTTGTGGTGCTGAAGATACTGGAGGGCAACCGCAAAGACCATCTTGTAATCACCTTCAGTGAAGTTTGCATGGAGGCTAGGGAGTGAGCCCACAATGGCGAGAAAATCGATGATATGAACCGCCATCGCAGGGTTGGACATGATCTGGGAGAGCTTTTCCAAAATTCTCGATAAAGATCTGGTCATTGATGGCTGTAGCTCAAATGCCGAAAGCGATAGTGCGTTTAAACAGCATTTGATTGTCGACGGCTGGCCGTTCAGTCCCAATAAGAATGCCTCCACCAGCCGATGCTGCTGCTGCACTTCGGGAAAACAGCGCTTGTAGCTGATGAGTACCGATAGTGTGTTGTAAGCCAATCCATGCGCGTCCCGTGCGATGAAATTATCCGGCCACCCCTCAATGTTCGCGGCCAGGTTCCCATTGATAATGCCTGTAGAGATGGCAGCCAGCATCTGGCCCAGCATAGCTTTAGTCTTCGGCCCACAAAACAGATGCTTGTTTGCGAGCTGAGTAGGAAGGTGACACAAGACATATGACAAGATCTCCCACTCCCGCTCCACCGTGAAGATTCCGACCAGCTTTTCCAGGTAGGTCCCGAATGACAACACTATTCCCTGCCGCGAGCCCGACGGATCATATGACATGATTCCTTCACTGGGCGTGTCGATATCCGCCAAAGAAAAGGGAAGTATCTCGGGGAGTGACCACAGCGGATCTCTAGCCTTCGATCGTCTAAATGAGATTGGTGTTGGGACCAACCTGGTAGTCCTCGAGCGACTCCTTGATTCTATCTTCTGTGGCTGTCCACCCCTCCCCCGTGATGGCCTCCTTCCGTCTCTTTCCTGAGGTACGCGCGGCCGCGCACTCCGATACTCATGTTCGCCCGACGACTCAGCCGACATTGACGCATTCGGTGCCCTGTTGATCAGCATTGTCAGGGATAGGACACAGCCGTCTTTGTCATAGTCCGTTGATGCGAAGTACAGCTTATGATCGCGATCTACGCGGAGGCGCATCAAGAACTGCAGCACGGTGAGGCGAGCGCGCACGCATTCCGCATCCGAGATAAGGTCGACCAGCAGGTGGAATACACGAGCAGCAAGTTCTATGCAGTCATCGGATAGTTTCAGGGGCGTAAAGGCAAGCTGGCCAAAGACAGATATCAATGCTACGACAGCACCGACCGTCTTTGGCATCGGGGGCAACTCGGGAGGCATCGAGGGGGGAGATTCGACAACGGGAGGAGGCTCCACAGATTGGCGAGGTTGTGATTGAGAGCGTGAGGCATTACCAGATGTGAAAGAGGAAAGGAGCGACATCACAGTCGGGATAGTCGATTCTTTCTCTCGCTGGTTATCTGTCTGCATGCGAGACATCACAGGTGAGGCCATAGCAGTTACAGGGGATACAACCGAGGGGTGGTCTGTAGTCTGAACGGACGCGGCGTCATCATCTTCCTCTTGTTTCTCGTGCGCAATGGCTTTCAGGTAGTCGAGCATATCATCCGCGAGCTGCCGTCCGTCGGTCTCCAAATTTCCTCGCGCCTCCACGCTGCGGAGCACGATCTCGTCGCCCAGAATATTCCAAATAACTGTGACTGGGACATCCTCCATCTCCTTAGACGTCTGACGCTTCCAAATGTCATAAATAAGTTCTGCGAGAGGCCTGCGATAAACCGAGATGTCCTTCACAAACTCCCATACGGACTGCAAAACATCCATGGCGATTTGGCGTGTCAAAGTGCGTGCAGATGTATATAAGCCATGCATAACCAAAACACTCTGCCAGTGCTCCAGCCATGCTGGGGACGTCGGAGACAAAGACTGGCGTTCTGACATTGTCATAAGCAAGTGGGCAGTATCGGAATCGGCTATATGCTCAGCCATAGAGAGGATGATAGTTGGTAGAACTGGATAAAGAGGCGTGGTCATCAGATCTTGAGAAAGGAGCCCGGAGACAACACTGAGGAAAGGCGAGGTCTCGTCCGTTCGCGACAAAGAGAGCACAATAGGACCGCCTTCCCGTGTCCTTGCAATTATTAACATTACTTGTAATGATCAAGACAGCATGGGCGTGAACGTACCTCAGTTGATGCACATACGCTATGAGTTCGCACAAAACGTCGCCAACAGCATTTACTTCCTCATCATCGACGTCCTCACTTTCCCCTCTTTCATCGAGCGCTTGTACAACGTCCTTAAGAATAGCAGCCACCTCACTAAGCACAACCTCCCTTGACGCATCGATAACACCCGGCTGTTCGTTCTTGTCCTTCTCGACCCATGCCTTTACTGCACGACGGAGCACGTTGCGGAACCTAAGCAAGTCCCACGAGGCAGCATCATCTTTGGACCACGCACGCTCCATGAGCCCACGCTCAAGGTCGATGTGCGTAGGGACGCCAGCCGGCGTGTAATCCATCGACGTCGTTCGGGTGATGTATGCACGAGCCAAGCGATTAATGAGTAACTCACGTATAGATGCACGAAACGTCTTGAGTGCACCTAGCGATGTTTGAATGCTCGCGGGCGATGCGTCGTTTGCAGGAAACAAGAAGTGTTTCAATAAAAATGTGCAGTTCGACGAGTACGGACCGGCTACAAGAGAATTGAGTACAGATGTGATTCGCTTCTCGATGCTGTTCTGGTGGGGTGAGCTAGGATTAAGCGATATTCGAGGGAGAGGACTGGCGTAGAAAGCAAGAGCACGAAAGAGAAGCGGAAGAATCGTCTTGAGATGGCTCGGAGCGAGCGCTTTCAGACGTGTACCGAGATAGGACAGATAGGCGTCCACAACAATATCCGCCGGATGTTTGGGTGAGAATACTTGAGAAAGTGATGTTGATGATTGATGCCGTTTGTGCGCAAGGGAAATCCTGTTAGGGGACGTCGTCTTTGATGAATTTGGATCATGCGCCTGGGAAGCAGGAGGCGAAGCCAAAGTAGTATAGTCCAGGGGTACCAGCAAAGCGCGGTCCAGCAGGCCAGCCCAAAGCTGCAAAACATCCGCAGTATCCTGTTCTGATAGTCTGGACACGAACTCGGCTTTACCGACTAATGAGGTCAGAAACGCCGTGAGGACCTCAACGCTGCGTTGTCGTTCGCTGAGTTCCTCGGAGGGCGCGGGGGAATCACGGCGCGTCAAGGCCTCGAAGGCTCCCTCAATCCAAGATCTGAGCACTCTCAACAAGTCGCCTTCCATTCCAATCGTCTCGGCGCCGGATTGAATGATAGCAACTAGGGCTTTGAAGCGAAACTCCCAAACTTCTTGCGACCATGATACCACAGGGTTGAGAAACAATGCTAGGCACGAAAGCCTGTCACCTGTAGTCAAAACTGAGGACCCGCTGTTCTCCCAGTAAGCAGCTAGTACATCGTAGCCAGCAGCTTGAAGGGACAAGGGCGAATTGGTTGAACACAGGGAAGCGAGTATCGGGCTCAAGATGGCAAGCTTTGGGTTAGGGTTTTTGGCAGAAAGGGCATGAGCGAGTGCACGGGCATGACTAAGGGAGGGTACGGCGGGAGGAGTTAGCGCTTCTATGAGGTCTTCGAGCGGTAAAGAGGACGCTGCGGAGGGGCTAGGCACCGGCGTCGAGGCAGAATCAGGTCTACCCCGACGCCAATTGAACGACGCAAATGTGCTTGTGTTTGAACGAGGTCGTGCGGGCCTATGCACATCATCGAGCTTGGAAGACATTCAGCTACTAGCATGTGAGCGACTGACGGTCCAAAGCTCAGACAGGATGCTTACCAGGCGTGTAGAGATGAGTGTCGTTACAGATCGCGAGGTCCGCCGGCGCGTGTGGTGGTGGGAGACAAGATGGAGGTCGGAAGGAAGGAGGAGGGACGGAGGCAGGCCTCGGCGGCAGAGACAAGCATGCAAGCAGACAGGGAGACGCGCCGCTGAGCGACGCCCACTCGCCAGATCCGCCACCCACGATCGGATTTACGTGCCGCCGGCATCACCCGCGACTCCCAGGCTCTCTCCCAGGCCACTCTCTCGGCGCAAGATTCTCTAACTTATCCATGTCCTCGATATAATTGAATCTGTAATGTTCACGACAAACCGACTACGCGCACAGCAGGCACAACAAACACACAGCATATACACGAGCACGGCACAAGTACTGCCATCTCAAGCAGGCATCAGAAACAAAGCCACGGTGCCCCAGTCACCATAGTACCCCACACACTTCGCTGTCTATCAGTCCGGAGGAACTTACTCGGAGGGCCGAAGAGCAGTCACGAGTCGAGTATAGTCTGGCAAAGAAGATCAAAGTCCAGACTCCCTGGGTATCGCATGCTGCGCACCTTCCATCGCCTTCTTGGCAATTGCCATCCCCTGCACTTGGCCCCGCTCGCGCTCTTGTTCCCCCGCAGAAACACGGTTCAGCTTCTGTTCGGATAGCACCTACACCAGAGGCAATGCGTGAGCGAGATCGGTGAGCCAATGGCTTCCAGGACGCACCCGGAGCCTTTGCTGTTCTCGCAGTAGCTCTGTCCAAATCTTGCGAATTTCATCTTCGATGCCGGCATAGTCCAGTATGAACTTCTCGTAAACGCCGTTCCTTGCGATTACCCCGCATCTCGTCAGCAGAGGAACCAAATCAATGCTGCGGACTTACATCTCGTTTACGGCGTTCGTGAATTCGTCGACTCGTGTCGAAATCTGGGCAGTAGTCCGTTTTGTGAACGCATATAGCCAGCGCAGAGTCGCTCACGCATTTGTTCAGTCCGATGTCAGCTTCTTGAAAGAATTTCGCTTCCTTCTCCTTCCTTTTCTTCTCCCATGTTGCTAGATGTCCCATATTTAAATCAGTCGCCACGACCAGCTTTTCTAAAGCCGCACGCAAAGGCAGTTCCATCCTTACATTGCATCTGCTGTGCAACGGCCGCCATTATCCTGTTATAGACGTGTCAAAACGGAGCACATAAAATGTAGACGAATCGTACCCAGCATCGTCACTGCTTGTCGATCGCTGAGTGGGCTTTTGTAAGAATCAGTGCATCGCCGCAGATCATCACTCAAATTTCCAGGGTACCTCATTCTTTTTGGCACGACTTTGAGGCATAATAATTTATTTGAAAGGGATTTAGGACGAGTGCAAGGAGCACAGTAATTGTGGTAGACGCAGGACGAGAAGCTTGCGTGACACTCTGAGCTACATAGTGCCAAACGCGTCTACTGTTAACTTACGGTCGCGTCGCGCGATAGGCTCACGTGCAACGCGTCGCCGGCATTCTCGGCGGAGTCTCGATAACAGCCCGAAGGGTTGGCCACATTATACCAACCCAAGTTTGAATCGCAGACGATCCAGTTGGATACATTACAATGGACTAATGCAAAACTAGACAAAAGCACCCATAAAACATGAGCCAAAGCAAGATCGATAACGAATAGATATTACGACACCGCAACAGGAGGGATCCAAAAACGGGTACAAAACAGTACAGAGACATTCCCCGAACTTGTTGAGGGATCAGTGAGATCCATTCCTGGTGCGAGAGAAAGGTGTACCGCGGATAGCTGAGTCGTATGCCACGGCTGCCACACATACACCTCCCGCCCATCTTGCAAGTCTGCCGGACTGTTGAATCGCGATGGTGTACCAGCCCCATCGAAGTTGAGCAAAATTGTGCGTTCGATCTCCGAGAGACCTAGCACCTCGCGGCAGCGGATAAAGCCTACACAGGGTGCATGTGTGGGGCGCTGATGATGAGCCTCACTGGCAGCGTGGATCACCGACACAATATGCAGGCGCATATCAGGAGCGAGGGATCGCTTGTTGCGCAAATCTAGTCGCAGTCCCTCCTGCCATAAAGAGAGGTCTGTCTGGCGCTGTTTACACCGAATACGAGCACAATCTGCCAGTCCACCCCTGTCGCCACCAATGAGCAAAATACGATGGGGTAGGACGCACATGTTGTCGGCGAACACGTACCTCCTAATCTTTGGATCCTTGTTGCGCTTAGATAGCTTTTCTGGGCTGTAGCCGACACCGCGGCGTATCTCACGCTCGGTGGGGTCGACATATCCGTGACCGTGTTGCTGTAGGCGAATGGCTAGCACCTCCGCAGCGCCTTGCTCTGTGTGCACATCCGTCGCAAGAGCAACAGCGGTTGCGAATATCGACTTCATTGGAGGACCAGATTCACGAGAGGGACCAGGAACTGAAGGAGGTGGCTTGATGGCGGCGAGCTTCTTGGTTTGTAGCGGCGATGGCGGCGGGCGGAGCTGCAGACACTTGATACTGGTCATCTTACGCGAACCATCATCTGCCTGTGGTCGCTCAGGGATACGAGACGTTATGGGGACTTTCCTCTTTTCTCGAACTTCGGTGTCCTTGGGCTTGAGTCCTGGAAAGACCACCGGAGGGGGACTCCTAACGCGCCTAGGCGCGCGAGATGTCCGGGCAGAGATACTAAGCCGTGAGACATGTGGAGGAAGCTTGGGGAAGTCCGGTTGGAACATTTCCGCTCTGACCGCGGGTTTGGAGCGCGAAGAACTGGACTTGGTGTCGAAGGCAGATACGAACTTAGGAGCTGAGATCTTAGCAGGCGAAGTAGACTTGATGAAGCCATCCGCAACATCCAGTCGAAGTCTTTTGGGTGGCGGAGGCTAAGTTATCAAAGGGTATAAAACAGAAAAAGGTATAATATTTTTAATATTCTTACCTTGGCGGTACCATCGCTCGAAGGCCCAGCATCCATTGAGATCGAGAGGTTAAATCGTCGCCGAATATGAAACAAGAATTTGGAGCAAGCCAGCTTAAGCTTAGTGTAGTCTAAGACGCTCAAGCTAATAGTCACCAGAATATTGGAACCGGGATTGAAAGGAATCTTCAGCGCACAGAGTCGAACTCGAGCTCAAGAGTCAGGACGTGGACATGGATTCGAGTTGATCGAAAGTCACGTCCGTGACTTATCATAAACGCGTCCAGTCACATCACGTTGCGCGTGTGCTGGGCAGGCACGGCGTGTCGGAAGAGCAACTCAGCGAGCAGCCATTCGGGCGCGTTGATCAATGGATCTGTCCCACTCTTGTCAGCTGTAAATTCACCATGACTGATTGCAACGCGTTTGCGTGAATGTTCGACAGGAGTCCTCCAGGCAGTGTTCTTAGTTGCGTGATTGCGTCCTGCTCTACTCATCTCGCCAGTTTCTTCTCCGTCGAGTCTCTGACCCCCAATTAGCATCATCACCATGCCATTGAGATATGTTCGTTCCAAGGTCACTGCAGGAAATGTCTTGCGTATAGCAATCACGACAACCGCTGCCGCGGAAAGTCTCGCTAACCTTGCCTCCTTCCCTCCTGCGGCCGTAGCTGCGGCTATTCTTCTGAAAATCTTCCAGATTATCCAGGTGCGCTTCGACGGATACGAAGTCCTTGCTACCCCTGAGCCGTTTTAAGGATGTGCAAAACAATCGAAGCGATTGTTACCGCCTGGCGAATAGATGCCTTTCGCTGTTGGTTGATATGAAGGATCAGATGGAGGACCGCTGGGATGATGCCCCCACATCCCTCCTGAAGGCGATTGGAAAGTTTGAACAGTAAGCTCTCTGCACTAGACATCTCTACCCAAGCATGCATTGACTACCATGACAGAACATTGGAATCAATATACACATTTCTACAGAACGAGGCTGATAAGAAGTGGAAGACACGTCTGCTGCGGAAGGGGGCTATCGAGGGGGCTTTAACCGACTTAAATCTTGCGTTGGATGATGCGGCGAGATCTTTCCAAGTACGCTGCGTCGTGACCATTGTCTATGACGTTTTGAATGTCATTTTCTAGATTGCCACCCTTATCAACATACATTATGCCGTTGGCGATAGAAGCAACAAAAGAGCAACATCATCCACTGTTGTGCAGGAAGAAGCAACTACCAAAGTCGATACCACTAAATCGGAAGTTATAACTGGTGATCTGACGGTCTTCGGCGAAGACTACGAAGTCCCGCCTTTAGCTAGCGACGTAGGTCATATTCTTTCTCTTTGATTCACATTAGTTGATCTGTTCATATAGGAATCACCGGATGCGCAGTCCGTCGTTCGCCGAGGAAGTAAAATAACAGACACTAAATCAGAGGACCGGACCTCGTTTCCTATACGTCGGATTGACTCTGCCGATCCTATTGAAGAAGCCTCTAGCTCTCACATCGAGCCAATCTTCTCGGATGTTGAAGTCCTCGATCATCGTGGTGTAAGTAGTATGGACTCGATCTCATCAATCCCAATTGAACGCTTTCGCAGTTCCGCCGATACCAACAGTCCGAAGTATTTATGCAGGGCCGATCGCGCATCAAGCGGGGGTGGTGGGCTGGAGCGACAGAGGTGAGAGTAAATGGACAGCTCCAATTTATGAAGAGGTATGAGGGAAACCGTGGAGTCACGGTGAAGGTATGTATCGTTCAAAATACAACATAAATGCAGTGCACCTATCTGACATATCGAGTAGAAATGGATGCGAGATGTTAAAATTTTGCAAAACCTATAGTGAGTGTTTTCCGCACCATGATGTGTTTATGAAGCTCAAAGGGCTGAAAGCCACCCCAATCTCCCTCAAATGGTTGGATACTCCTACGAAGAGTGCCCCACGCCGTTCATTCTGCTCGCCAACGGTGAGTGACTCTATATATGCGGTATGTATCGTAACCGAAAATGCGTCGCATTTCTAGTGCAGACACGACTGCCACAAGCTCTCGTTCTGGACGTAATAAAAAACTCCGAAATGGTTCGCTGCGTCCAGCTTATTCTTCGTTTTGTGAGTCACGGTTGCAACAAAATGTAATAAACTATAGTCTAATGTAGCAGGTAGTATCGGGATACAGTGGTATACGTTTTTAGATCTCGAAGAGCAACTCAATGTTGACCCCCATTATATCAGGATGCAGCTCTGTATCTCCAACGTCAGCTAAACCTATCTGATTCTAAGATACAAGACTACGTTGAGGCATGTCTTGTTCACCTTCACCATCTTTACAACGCTCGAACCCGTCTTAGAATGCCGATTTTCGCATTTACGGCGAAGAAACTTTAGTAATGGGGCTTCCTCCCCCGGCAGTTGACAACTGGCAGAGCTGGCGAAACTACGGCCTAGCGCACTCTGTGCGCGGGATCTACCTCAAAGTCAGTTTTTCTCGGCTGCAAGTGTAACACAAACGAATGGTTTATACCGCTTGTAGCTCCTGCCAACCCGCGGGTTTGTCGATGAGCTGTATGACCCAAGAGACAGCACAGGTGAGTCGAAACCACTTGCTGATGGTGATAAGACGGAAATACATTTAAATGTTCAGTCAGCATCGAGAATCAACAGAAACACAGCCATCTCACAATTTTACTCAAATCTCTTCTTCCGAGTAATGAAGAGCCAGCAAATGCAGTGTCACGTCTCCAGGCGCTCATGCCGGACGAGGATGAAGACGAGGAGTCGATGGGTCGCGAGTTGACTTTGAAACAATTTCGACTAGCAGCACTGAACACGAGCATGCATCAGACAACGTGGAGGCAGAAGGTAGTGCCCACATACTACAAGTATACTGTCGGCGATGTCGGGTATGTTCCTGAAGGAGGAGATTTTGCGTCGTTCGTGGTTCTTTGCAATGTGATCCGAGACGAGGCTGCCACAGTGGATGTATCTGAGCGAGCGGTGGGCGAGCAGTGGCAGTGGTCTTTTGGGTCAGGAAGACAGGAGCTCCCGTCTTTTATGCGACCAGATGGAAAATATAGGTAACTAACAATTAGCCTTTGGAAAAGATTGATGGACTAACGACCTATCGCTCCAAAAGCTGGACTGTCATGCTTCCGGCGGGATCTCGACAACAAGTAACTATTCTTCACGAGAAGTTTGCTCCAACTCCAGGACAGGCATGGAAGTTTTTACTCGAAAATGGCCGCCGCCTTGGGCAGCAGCATAGTGTACAGCCTCAGGACCTGATGCTAGGTTAGTGTCATTTCATGAAAATATCTGACAGACTTATCACTCATCTATGGACTTCGTGACGTCAGTGACGCGAGTGGGCGTTCAGTTGGATTTCGGTCTACACTGCATGGGGCACCCAGGCGGGTTCCACCACGCTCATCATCAGGGAGTTTTTGGTCACTCGCCATTCGGGAACTCTCATTCCGCAGGCGGGTTTAGCAGGCCTGGCCAGTCCCATTTTTCACCATTTTCCTCGCAGCCCCCCATGCCAACTATACTGTATTTGACCACTGCATTTGAGGAGGCCTATCAGCCTGAGTGGGTCAATCCTGTCACCACTGGTCCCAGAGTGAATTTCCACGTCTCCCAGCAGTAGGTAGTCCCGTCACTCGGACTGTTTGGAGGCTGACGGTTGGGGTACTATAGATCCTGTGGATATCTTAATTACGTTCGCCTTCATGCTGAAGACTTCGCGTAATGTTTTGCGATGTTGGAATGGAACAGTTTTTATATACTCATAATTCGATTATTCGGCGGGTCTCCCAGCGAATGCGCATCCACAAGCTGTCTACGTCACAACTCGGATGTCTGTCTTCGGGTCGATTCTCATATCAAAGCCAGGTGGCATAAATGTATCGCATGAGGACCGTCCACAGAAATTGCCAAGAACATCTCTTCGTTGTAACCCACTTTGAAGCAGAATACACTTATACTGGCCATCCCTTCTACTAACAACTCTTATGCAGGAACCTACAAAAAACATAGCTACATGCAATATTAGTGAGAATTTACAGCTGCGCTCTCAAAACCATGCTCGACCAATTTAGTCCGTGATGTCTGTGTACTAATAATATGCGGAGCCGTGAAAATTGCCAAAATAAACAGTAATAGTGTCAATCCGTTCAAGATCTGGGGTCATGAGGTCATAACAAATCATGTCTGCTATCTCATAATCACTTGGGAGACGAGGTCTTGCCGTTCTGCTTCGCCTTGGCGGCGGGAGAGGGGGGGTTGGACGATGCAGGAGAGTGATTTGAATGCGGTCCAGGACGCGCGGGGCGAAGTCCGCAATCCATCGGTGCGACCTCGCCACATTTGACGTGAGCTCTGGTAAGGCGACGTATGCTCATCAGCTGCACGATCCCCACACTAAACTACACGTCGTACCTCAAACCACAGTCGTCGCATTCCAACACGGGTTTCCAACCCAGGCGCTTGCCACAAACATCGCATTTCGCCGCCAACAATGTGCTTGAGAAAATGAACTCCAAAGGATTGCGATTCCATATTGCGTCCATCGCCGGCGGGGACGCACTCCTACTCCTGCTTTCCGCCGCTGTCGTGCGCTTGGCACCAGGTTTGAGTAAAGAGAACCGATGGACGAGCGGCAATGACGAGTTGCGGATCGTTGAGCCACCTTCCGTTGCAGCGGCGATAGACGCTGCGATAGATGAATTCGATGCAGTGTAATAAGATTCGATGGACAACAAAGATTCAGTCGGCGTAGGACCCTGTGCACCAGTCGGTGGGGGGTCAGCAGTAGGTGATGGGCGGACGGTGAGAATAGAGGAGAGAGATGGCGCAGAGTACTCGCTGCTGAGAGCATGTGAGCGCACAACCGTCGTGCTATATTCTGAATGCGCGCTGGACGTGCTGTCTAGCAGAGGTTGTGCGCTGTCTCCTGTTTGACCTGAATCAAAGAGATGAGCTAGCATTATATGCGCGGGAAATCGGGACTTGCCAGAAGACGCATCGCTCCACGCACTATTGAGGTCGACGTGGCTGAGTCGCTCTATGGCGAGTTCATCATCACTGTCTTCTGCCTCGTCGCTTGAGTGCACATCTGCCATGGTAGGAGGCTCACTCGGGCCACCAGTTCCATCCCGAATATCCCGTGCAACTCCCATACCAAAGCTTGGAATCCGTGGTGCTGCCCCTGGCCTCCGAGCCCCGCCCGTCATGAACTTGATTGTACCCAAGTGCATGTCCTCCGCATCAGATGGCCGAGAAAGTACCTCGGTCTCAATCTCTCGCAGACGCTCCAAGATGACCCGTGTGTTTGGTCTCGACAGAGGATCCTGCGACAGGCAATCGAGGGCAAGAGTGATGAAAGCGGCCGGACATCCTGGGCTTGCTAGCCGCCGAACCTCATCGTGATCGACCTCGAAAAGCGGTGGCGCTCGCCGAAAGGTATGATCATCCGCGAGCTTGCGTGCCGCAATCTCACAAAAGATAACCCCAAGAGAGAAGATATCAGTGGGCAGGTCAAACTCGGTGCCTGTCAGGATTTCCGGCGACATGTATGAGTCCGTTCCGCAAAATGTAAGTCGTTTGGACTCTTCTGCGTTGCGAGCTGCAATTCTCGCGAATCCAAAATCGGTGATCTTCAACCGCCCATTGGCCGTCACAAGCAAATTCTCGCCCTTCAGGTCTCGATGGATGCATTTTCGGGCGTGAAGGTAAACCAGTGCGCGGGCGATGTCCGTTGCGAATGATAGACGTAACCGCCAAGGGAAGGGTTTGGCCTTATCGTGGATGTATATGCGAAGATTCCCGTTCTCTATGAATTCGGAGATGATGAAGATTCGTCCATCTGGGGCTTGAGACAGGCCGAGGTATAATACAACATTCGGGTGTCTGGCTTCTCTGCGCAAGGCTCAGTATATGCGTCGCCGAATTTCGATGCAGTCAATGATGAAATGGGACTCAATTGCACAAGCCCGAAAGCCCCTCCCCCGCGGTGTAAGCCTCCCAGCTTGTGCGAATCGTCGCTGAACAAAACCTACCGCTTCTAACTACAGTGGTAAGCATGGTTGGGGGACTGCCCAGTCATGCTAATCAGACCACAGGCTCCACGGAGGGGTTCCCGTTAAACACCGGAAAAACAAAGCCCTTGTTCTGCCAGGAATGGCAACTTACTTCATCAGTCTCCATTCACGTTCAAAATACTTCGCGACGTCGTAGTCATTTGATGGTAGCACTTCCTTGATGGCGACATCGATGCCAAGGTATACACCTACAGAGGTGTTAGCACAGGCATCGTAGCACACGGCCAAAACATTCACCTTTGTATACATTACCGAATGACCCCGAGCCCAGCTTCTTCCAGTCGCCTTTGATGTCCTGATATCCGAGATTCAGCAACGAGAGCATGCATTCTATAAGCGCATACCTCGAAGGGGATGACATCGAAGGCATCCGAGTGCATGATAGCGGGAGACATACAGGTCGTCGGGTTCGCTGGCCGCGCAGACACTGCTTTCGCTCTTTGGGCTCGCTGTGGTCGTGTAGTGAGCGATTCAGATCCGTCGCGATTCGGTTCAGCTTTGCCGAGTCTCGTGCCCCCAAGCATCACATGATCAACACGTCTGTGGCGCGGAATGAGATCCAGATTCTGGCTCAGCGAGATTGGTTCGATCCTGGTTCGATCGTGTCGTGGTGACGGTATTCGAGTCTGTATTTTCGAACCGTCTACACGGCCTCGCACTCACCGTGACGGTTCGCTAAGAGACTCGTGCCCGCTTGGTCTCTCGGAGATGTGGTCTCCGGGACTGCCACTTGCAGAATGTGGACCGGAGGCGAGCCACGCTACCGCAGACCGCAGACTGGCGATGACTCGGTGAGTTACATGCTTATTCCAACCGCTCGCGCGTGGTGCACTCCGAGAACAGGCCTTCCGCCTTCAGCCACGGCACAGATCCACCTACCATGCCTGAGACATCGGATCCGTGAGTGATCCCGCACCGAATTGTCCGATGCGCTCCTCTACATCATCATACGCAGACTGCAACAGAGCGAAATATACGTAGAAGCTATTCATACAGCTGCGAGTGTGTGCTATGGCACAAACGCCAAATGAGTCCGGAAATTGAAAGGACCGGACCTATGCTGCATCCGCTATCGGTGGGTCGCGTTCGCTTGGGCAAAGTGCTTGCCGCAATCCACCGGGTTTGTACATCGTGGCTGTGCTATCTATGTTCTTGTCTACTCTAGTATGGAGACCTCCTCCTGTACGCGGGTGGGACTTGCGGCGTCCTGGTGGTGCGCTGAAAACATGGTGCTACAATGTTTTGAGTACCACCGCAGCAATAAGCCAGTATATATGGAGCCATTCGACCTTCTGGATCCTTACATCCAGCAAGCCTTCGTATCTCGTATGTTCCTTCCCAGCTATGCATGTCTCCTTCTAACATTTTGTAAATTCTATCTAGTCGCCAAATTCCCCATCCGCATAACCCACGCCCATTCACCCAATCTCCCAGCATCCAGAAGGATCATGCCAGCAATTTGCGAATATTTGAACGGCAGCTGCGGCGCCCGTTTCAATGCGGATATCAACAGCGTTCAGCAGCACTTTTCAACCGCGCATCCCGCTGCAGGCACGGTTAGGTGCACATGGACTGGCTGTCAGAAACCGATCGAAGCTTCCAAGCTTGCCGGTCATGTAGCGACAGTGCACCTGAACATTCCGTCGCGCTCGCGGCACGGATGATCCTTTCTCCATCACCCCCTTGATTCCTTTCTCGCATTTATTATATCGCTACTGCTTTGCACGTTGATTGTACACCAATTCTATTCGTGATTATCTCAAGTTTGGAAAGATGTCGGCTGCTAAACCCGATGTCTGCACCTGAGCTAGTCCAATAGTCACGGAGGCACCTGCTCGGGCTATTCCTACTACCTTTCACTCCAGCATATCTAGTAGTGGGCTGAAGCGAGTGGGGAAGGCGCGCGCCTACACTGCCCTCCGCCGGGTTTGTCCATCAACCGCCTCAGGCTCCGCGCCAGTGTTTATGCAATACTATATCGTGTCAGGCCAGCACAACACACAGTAAATGCTGCCGGATAAAATACGGATACAGAAATAGTACAACTAGAGTGCAGCAATTCAGGGAAACAAAAACAACAGTAGAACACATCAGTTCGAGGGTATGATTGATACTCTACTCGTGCTGCTAGTAGCAGCACGAGTAGAGTATAACAGAGTACAACAAGACCATAGCGCGTTCCCCATCGACTAATTTAAGCCCGATGTGGTCGCATACATATGTACTATGAATAAGTGTAGAGACGCCGATTCATTAGTATAATGCACGTCATTGGGAAGCCGGCGGGTCGATCGGCTTTCGTCCCCGCATGAAGTCTGGATCGGTGTCCATGAATATAATGACACAATGCCTGACTAACCCCCGACTCTCCGCAGAATCCTTCCGCTTGCCACTGTTACACAAAGGGCAGCGCGCCAAGCCCGAAGTGCAGTGTTTTGTCCTCATATGCTTCGTGTAGTTCCTGAGCAGGCACGGTTGGGCCGAAGGCCCCATGCACTCCCTGCGCTTACAATGGAAGGGTACCTTGCCCTCGCGTTCAGGCCGCGAGAGTTCCAGCTTGTGTGTAGATCTGAAATGCTGCATCATTTGCGGCAGCATCCCCGTTTCGGGGCAATCATTCCAGTTGCATCTGAAAGGGAGCACAGGGTTGTTGAAGACTTTCCGTTTGTGGGGCAAGTGATCCGTAACTATATGTTCCCAGAGATCTCTGGGCACGCCGACGTAAGTGCAATTATCCCACAAGCAGCGGATTGGGACTTTGTCCGATTGCACTGGCTCTTTTCGGGGCTGGCGAGTAGTTGATTTCGAGGAAGAAGGCACGGATGATGAAGATGAATGGCATAATGACGGGGATGATGAGCTCGAAGTGATTTGCAAAGACGGTGAGGATGACGACGGTGAGGAAAACGATGAGGCCGGGGTAGATGACGAGGGCGACCCCCGCTTTCGCTTGCCAAGACTCGAGCTCTGCATGCGATCACCCGTCCTAGGTGTCACAATTTTCATGAGCACATAAAAGAATCACCAATCAAGGCGACACTTACATGATACTTGTAGACGACGAACCCGCTACCTGATACTCTGGAACTTGCGGCTGGTGTGAAAAAGACCAGAGTCCCGGGGCTGGTACGAGTGGCGCACCAGCACTGCGCACGCTTCAAGTCAGCCACGATATGATAAGAGAGGCGACGACGAGCGTACATAGGGTAGATATCATTGAAATTCCCGAAGGTTTGGTCCCCATGCTGCTGGGGTAAGTAAGCGTGGAACGGATTCCAGGGGTCGTAGATAGGATAGATAGGATAGATAGGATAGTCCGGCGCTATGAACGCCGCATCCTGCACATTATAAAACTCCGGGGGCGGAGGAAGATCGAGGGGAAATTGTGCGCCGGAAACCAGCGCGTCGCTGAGAGGTACCGTCAGCATCGATACTAGCTATATACAGACGAGAAGATTACTTCTCCAATGGCACCATTGCGGCTGGTTCGGGCTGTTCGATAGCCCAGCTTTCCTGATCAAGCGTTGTCATTGAAGGATCAATCCCAAAGTTACTGCCGAATGCTGGGTTGAGAACATATTCTAAGATGTCTAGGAGACGAAAGGAACGTACAGCAAATCAGTCATCGCGAGATTTGACGCAATGTTTGACTCGTTGTTTGAGTTGCCGTTTGAGTTGCTGTTGGAGTCAACTACGAAATTGAAGTCTTGGTACGAGAACCAGTTGGATGGAAATGCGTCAGTATACGCGGCCATGTTGTTTAATGTTTGATATGTAGAGATGTTCGAGATGGGGTATGGCGTTGAGATCCGCAAGTGGAAGATGTGGTTGAGAAGTGAAAGAGAGCCAGATATGTGGCTGGAATTTATGCAAATTGAAGTGTGGAGGGACCGAGACAAAGCGATCAAAACAACGCGCTCGACAAACGCGTCTACGCGACGCAACATACGCCAGTCACGCATCACATCCGCCACACTTTTGTCCTCGAGCATCACGCGAAACGCTGCGAAACGATTCCACGACCAAACACAGGTGCACAACGGCTGGAGCAGCCGACACCGGTCGATTGCCCCAGCGCTGTGTACTTGTGCCTCTCGTGTCCGCCTCGAATTTCGCAACATTTGGACAAATCCTAGATGACACAAGTCGCCGCCGCGCGTTCTGAAGTTGGGTGTCAGGATCAATGACCAAATTTACATCGTAGGTCTGAGCCGGTCCGTGATCATCTAGTTTACGAACCGAACACAGATGCGAATGGAAATGTACGGCACAGTCCTAGTAATCTTCAGCTTCATTGGCCATGTCTCCACAGAACTGAAATAATGGCGTACCATTTCTAGGATTAATATACGCGGAAGATGCTGGTTCAGACTTATTGTTACAGTCCAGAGTCCTGGGTGTTGCAGTGACCGGTGAGAATTTCTCCACTTTCCCCGCAAATACTGAGACAATTTCGCGTCCCCATCGGCATACAGAAGTGACATCAAGTAGCGCACGGAGTAGAAGACGGACCGAGAACGACAGTATTCATGTTCACGAGCGGATTGCAAGCATGCGCGCGCAGAATACGACGAGTCTGCACCACTGGACTATGTCTCTAAGGGCGGTCAGTCATTGTATAAGTGGACATACCACATATCTTGCCAGGTGCGCCCGTCGAGCAACTGGCATGTAACGGCTGCCCGCGCTGCTATAGAGGTACATTCTAAGTAGCAGTGCGGTCTGTGCATGCAACACATACAACGGTGCCGTACCTGTCCGTCTGAATTTGAACCCCGGGTTTTCGGACACTGGTGAATGATGGAAATGAAGATTGCCAGCGCATCGGAAATCCCGCGTCAACCGAGATGTGATGAGATTCAAATTTGGTGTCAATGGCGTGGCATACTGATGTGTTCGTATGGGCACCCTTCTCTCGTGAGCCCGCTGTCTACTACTACGATGAGCATCAAAGACGGATTCATCTCGTAGGCCTCGCGACCGCGATAGTGCTTACCACCATCGTTCAAGTGCCCATGGTTCAGAGTGCGTCGTGGTGGGGAACTCTGTTCTGCCAACAAACAACAGTCAAACTGCGATCAGAATGCTGGATCCCACAGTGGTTCCAGCGAATCCGACGTCGTCCGCGGAAGAGTCTCACGTGGCATACTCAACGCCTGCGTCTTGCCATTTCGGACGTGCTGACTGGTGTTGATGACGACATCGACGATGCTACCGTACGCAGCGTGTTTTCGCTTTGAATAGAGAAAAATGCCGGAATGTACACAAAGGATCCGAGCTGAAATTATCGAGCTCTCTATCTCGCAAATGCCTTCGTCTATCGGCCCTCATCGCCCCGCCGTCAGCCAGTGCGGCGGCTGTGCTCGCAAATACGGCCGATGATTGCATCATCTGTTTTGAGGACACATCTGAATCTCGGGCTCAGCGGCTCAGCGAGAGCGATAACTTTTCGCGTCCGATCGGACGAGCGCGACGGTGGGGCCAGAGCTTATAACCGACCTCCATGCTCCAAGGGCCGACGACATTTGCTCAATCCTCCATCCATACCACTCTTGCCTTATGCTGCCCCACAGATTCGCCAGCAGCTCTCTGCGGGCAAACCTCGCCCGTCGTCCCCACGGCTCGCACCTTTTCATCCCCTCCATACCAAATCCGGGCTCTCCCTGTCTCAGGCGCTCTATTGCCCACGGTGCAAGCTTCGACTCGTCCCGGGGTCTGTTGACGTCTTCGTCTCGCCAGAACGCCTCCAACACGTTGCTGCGCGAGAGGGAGGCTGGGGCTGTCGAGGAGACGAACGATGTGACGGCCATGGACAGGCTGCTCAGGCTCTGCCGTATGTTCTCCGTCGCCCTCCCTCACATGCAC